GGTTTAACAACACAATTCATCAGAAAGACATTAAAAAGGATGCAATTTGAGCTATATTCCCGCAATCTTGAGCCAAAAGTAATTTAAAAAATCCATACAAAATGATTAATATAGAAATTACGCATATTTCGTTGACCCCAATCATCCAGACAAATTCTTTAAATCATCACAACCAAAATGTGTTTGGGAAGGCGCACTTCAGAACCAGAGCTTTTGTAAGGAAGGAACTCAAATAAAACACTGCAGTCTCCGAAAGTTCATGTATTCTGAATGTATATGCACAATACCTCTATTTATCAAAACATGTGACATACCTACAATGGGGGTTTCTGTTTAATCTGTTACTTACACATCCATCTTTCACAGATGTAAAATCAAACAACCAAATGAAATCTAAAGTTTGGCAATTACACTGGACACATTTTCAACAGTTGTCTTTTAAAACAATATTTATTACTGTTTGCATATTCACATTGAGCACATTTTAAATCTTTTTAGTTGTCTTGTGTGACAACAGATGTTTTTTTAAACTGGACTTATAACTGGATGCAAAATCACACTGGACACATTTAAATTGGTTAGAAGACTCGTGCTTTTTTAACAGATGAGTTCTCAAATCGCCTTTACGGTTGGTTGCAAAATCGCACTGTGCACATTTTAAGTCCTTGAAAATCTTGTGCGTCAGTAGATGTTGTCTAAAGTGGGATTTATTATTCGTTGCGTAGTTACACTGAGCACATTTTATATGCTTAGCAGCCTTATGTATGGATAAATGCCTTATTAAGTGGTGTTTATTATTCGTTGCGTAGTCACACTGAGCACATTTTAAGTCCTTCGCAGCGTTATGGGTTAACAAATGCCTGCTTAAGTGGTATTTATTATTAGTTATGTAATCACACTGATTGCATTTTAAATCCTTCACAGTGATGTGTGTTAACAGATGTTTGTTAAAAGTAAATTTAGATTTGGTTGTGAAATCACATTGTGCGCATTTAAAATCCGTAACTGGTTGGTGTGACAGCAGATGTATTTTGAAGCTGGATTTATAAGCGGATGCAAAATCACACTCGACACATTTAAAAAGATTGAAAAACTGGTGTGTTAACAGATGAGCTCTTAAATTGCGTTTACCTTTGGTTGTGTAATCACACTGTCTACATTTTAAATCATTGAAAGTCTTGTGTGTCAGGAGATGGTCTCTAAGATGGGATTTATAATTAGTTTCGAAATCACACTGAGCACATTTTAAAACCTTGAAAGTCTTGTGGCTCAGGAGATGAGAACTAAAGTGGGATTTATTATTGGTTGCGTAATCACACTGAACACATTTAAAATCCTTAGCAGCTTTGTGTGTTAACAAATGCCTTCTTAAGTAGGATCTGTTATTAGTTACGTAATCACATTGATTGCATTTTAAATCCTTGCAAATCTTGTGTGTCAGGAGATGATCTTTCAGGTGGCATTTATAATTGGTCGCGTAATCACACTGGGCACACTTAAAATCTCTCAAAGTCTTGTGTGTGAGAAGATGATCTCTAAGATGGCATTTATAATTGGTGGCGTAATCACACTGAGCACATTTTAAATCCTTGGACGTCTTGTGCGTCAACAGATGTTGTCTAAAGTGCGATTTATTATAGGTTGCGTAATCACAATGGGCGCATTTTAAATCCTTAGCAGCCTTATGTGTTAACAAATGCCTTCTTAAGTGGTATTTATTATTCGTTGCGTAATCGCACTGAGCACATTTTAAGTCTTTAGCCGCGTTATGTTTCAACAAATGCCTTTTTAAGTAGTCTTTATTATTAGTTAAATAATCACACTGATTGCATTTTAAATCCTTCACAGTGCTGTGTGTTAACAAATGTTTTTTAAAGGTAGATCTATAGTTACTTGCGAAATCACATTGTGCACATTCAAAATCGTTGGTCGTTTTGTGTGTTATTAGATGTCTTTTAAAGCTGGGTTTGTTACTGGTTGTGTAATTACACTGGACACAACTGAAACCGCTTGAAATTTGTGGTTGATTAGTATATGGGAAACCTTTAGGTTTTTGCAAAATAACATCAACAGATTCATTTTCCTGCTGTACTTTCTTTTCTTCTTTCCAATTATGTGTCACATTAGAAGAATTCGTCTCCTCAATTTCCAGTTTTATTGTTTCAGACACATCATTATTGAGAAAAATTTTCTCCTCAATTAATTCATTTATCTCTTTTTCTTGTTTTAGTTCCATTTTCACAATTCCCGACATCACAATTTATTACAAACACAAGGAAGGTATCTGCAAGTGCAAGAAAGAGACGAAAGTAATAGTTTTGACAGTAAAACATTCATTTCCGTAGTGTAGTGTAGTGTACTTAACCCCCAGGTTCTACGCTAACTTCACACTACAAGAACACGGAAATAAAATAAACCCGGCAACGTTTTAAAAAAATGGCCACCCGAATGACTATTCCCTCTAAAACTAAACAAGTACCCGCTTAAATTTGAAAAGTGGCACGTGATAAAACATCTAAGGCAGGGCCTCCTTACGTTAGTTGTAGACAACGCTTTGACCTGAAGCACAGTAGGGAAGGAATTTTAAATAAAACACTGAAATTGTGAGAAGTTTGTTTAATTAATGATCGTAACTATCATGATTGTGAAAACCCGGAAATTTAGTTGATGTACATTAATATAAACAAAACAAACAAAGCCAAAAGGTGTCGTACTCTCGCAAAAGTCACTGCCAAGGATAAAAAGAGTGCGACGTAAGAAAAACCTTGCAGTTTGATTAAAACAGTCCAAAAGTTAATTAACAAAATATTTTGTAAAAGTTTAAGCAGTAGTTAACAAAGATAGTAAATGCATATACACAAGGATGGTTACACTCAAGGTTAAAAGCAAGTTTTTGGGGACAATGGGTCAGGTAGAAGCAGGTACCAAGATTCTGAGAAAGGGTTAAAAGTACAGGATGTGACTCATCTTTGGTGCAATAAAGTCCTTTTGTTGAAAGCAAGATGGAAAACTACATGGCCTTGTAGGCAAATTTGACTAAAAACAAAATATGTGGAAATTATTGAATCGCCACTCATTTATCACACATAGATTCTAAACTGAAGAGCTTTGATTAGCGTAATCTCGCTCCTGCAAGATGGGTAGTCCGCCCCTGGTTTTGGGGTTTCGAACCTACAGTTGGATGTCGAAGACAGTGCACGGAATTAGGTGCCCTAACACATAAATATAGACTACAGTTTCTTTTTCCACCTTCCCGAGACTGCTTCATTCACGGAGAAAATTGTTAGTAACATACAACAAGTCAGTACATACATCAAACGAATCAGCAATTTCCACATAAGTATTAAAATAAAATGAAAACTTATATGAATGTAACTTCAAGGACAAGACCAAGTAATCAACATCAATAAACATAAATTAAGCAAACATTACACCAAAAATGTAAACAATAAAAAACAATAGCATAACGGTATCACACATATGATTGCATTGCGGTTAAACAAAGTAAATTTCAAAAACAGAGATTCAAACACACAACAAATATAAAATGCGGAATACAAAACACAAATACGATATAAAGAAATGCAAAAATTACTACCTGCATTAAATAACACAAAATAACAACAACCATTTATGGAACGAAACGTTCACGACCGCCATTCGAGACAAGATCCCAAACGTAACTCCCGTTCGTGCTTATTAGGTGGCGCAAGCAGCTTTTTTTTCCCACCTAGAAATTGCATGGTTGCCAACTCTCAAATATGTATGTATCGTCGTAAGCTGTATATACAGGGTGGAACCTTTCAGTAGTATCAAAGAAATGGGCGCGTTCAACTACTTTGAAACTATAATTGGAAGAAGTGGCATACTAATAGCGTTTTCGATTGGCAAAACTCGTACTGCACGAGTGCAATTTTTACGTTCTATTGGTAATTTTAGGGCAATTTTCTGTGTTCCATTGGCAAATGTGATGCAACAATTATGCACTAAATGCAAATTTTGACGCACGAGGTCGGAGAGCTCGTGGAGCAAATTTTCAAAATAAAAGTGCGCCAATTTGAATTTGTTTCTTGCGTTGGAGAGTTTTTTGTTGTCATCTAGCGATAGCGAAGATGATGAACTAGCCATATAACTTCTACTTTACAAAAAGTTGCATTTACTCTTTAAAGTGAACGCCAAAAATTGGTTCTTTACAGGAATTTCAAATTTATATTCCTCATTGTTTATCATAAATAATAGTGAAATCGTTTCAGTCATTTTTTAGAATACAGATTTGTCGATTACCTAAATCATTGTATAAATACAAATCTAAAATGAGGTTATGGACAAATGACAGCAAATATTTACGAATATTTATGTTCCATTGAGAGCAATTTTCATATGGATTTCTTCAGTTTCTCGTGCAACACTCGTGCAGTACGAGTTTTGCCAATCGAAAACGCTATTAAATTGTAAGTACAAGTGGAATGCAATTCAAGAACAATTACGGGAAACAAAATGAAATGGCGGTGAAATCTGCCGGTAATGTAGAAATTCATCTATCGCATGACGCGCGCCAATGGAAATCCTAATAAGATGGCGGGCCGGGTAAAAAGGCGATGTCATTCACATGCTGCATCGGTAGGTAATCCAAAAGAAAGAACGCAAGAGAAACAATAAGAAAACGAGTATTAAGAAAAAAATGCTGCGTCATAAATGTAGCATACCTCGTACTGTTTCTACGCAAACACCAATCCATAAAAACGCTTCGATGAAACACAGCGACAGAACGAAGACAAGAAGCCAGTAAAAGTAATTGCGTACCAAGATAAAATTTGCATGTGACCAAAGCGACGGCAGAAACTTAACTAAAGCGAAAAGTAATACAACTGCGCGCAATACTAATTTAAAGAAGGGATAGAATTAGATATACCATGGAAAACGTCTTGCACGACATCGGTCGGCGAAACAAAGAACTATTGTAATAAAACACTTGAAACAAATTTACTATACAAGAACTACTTACATCTAAACCACAAATCAATTTTAACTTTTAAACTTCTGCACGAAATTGAATTAGAGTAACACTTTAGCGAAGCATATTCAATTAAAGTGAAAATTTTGGTAGTTTATGAACCATAAACCTCACAATAGCATAACAAAACTTCTACTTAACAGAATTTGACATGCAGTGGCGATTTCTGTTTAATGTATGTTAACATTCGATACAGTGTAACAGATTTCTATTAAAATAATGTTTTGCGTATTCACATTGAGTGCATTTTAACTCTTTTTCGTTGTCTTGTGTAACAAGAGATGTTTTTTTAAACAAGATTTATAATTGGTTTCGAAATCACACTGAGCACACTTTAAATCCTTGAAAGTCTTGTGGGTCAGGAGATGAGATATAAAGTTGGATTTATTATTGGTTGCGTAATCACACTGAGCACATCTGAAATCCTTAGCACCTTTATGTCTTAGCAAATGCCTTCTTAAGTTGCGTTTATTATTGGTTACGTAATCACACAGATGGCATTTTAAATCCTTAAAAGTCTTGTGTGTCAGGAGATGCTGTGTAAAGTTGGATTTAATATTGGTTTCGAAATCGCACTGTGCACATTTTAAGTCCTTGAAAGTCTGGTGTTTCAGGCTGTGTGATTTAAAGGTGTATTTATTATTGGTTCCGTAATCACACTGAGCACATCTGAAATCTTTAGCAGCCCTATGTGTTAACAAATGCCTTCTTAAATAGTATTTATTATTAGTCAAGTAATCACACACATTGCATTTCAAATCCTTCACAGGGCTGTGTATTAGCCGATGGATTTTAAAGGTGGCTGTGGAATTGGTCGAGTAATCGCACTGTGCACATTTTAAATACTTTATAGGATTGTGTGATAACAGATGTTGTTTCAAATTAGATTTGTAAGTGGACGCAAAATCACACTGGGCACATTTAAAATGGTTGGAAGACTCGTGTATTAGCAGATGAATTCTCAAATTGCGGTTACTGTTAGTTGCATAATCACACTGTGTACATTTTAAATCCTTGAAAATCTTGTGCGTCATGAGATGATCTCTAAGGCGGCCTTTATTATTGGTTGCGTAATCACAATGAACACATTTCAAATGCTTGAAAACCTGGTGTGTCAGGAGATGCTGTCCCAAGTAGGATTTAGAATTGGTTGTGTATTCACACTGATTACATTTGAAATCCTTTGCGGTTTTGTGTGATATTAGATGTCGTTTCAAGAGGGGTTCACTATCGGTTGTGTAACCACACTGGATACAACTTAAACCTATTGAAATTTGCGGTAGATTAGTATTTGGGAAATCTTCAATGAAACCAAGAAATTCATTTTCCTGCTGTGCTTTCCTTTCCTCTTCGCAATTACGTCTCACAGAAGAATTCGTCGCCCCAAGTTCCAGTTTTATTGTTTCAGAAACATCATTGTTAAGAAAAACATTCTCCTCAATGAATTGATTTAATTCTTCCTCTTGATTTATTTCAACTTTCACAATTGCAGACATCTCAGTTTTTTACAAACACAAAAGGTCATATATGCAAAAGGTCGCTCACAGGTCGCTCTGTATCTGCCAGAGGATAGCAACTAACGAATATTTGTGTGAACTTAGCGAACACAAACTGTCTCGTTTGTAAATGATGTTTTCTATGGGTCAGAGAGAGAAGAAAACAATTATTTTCACTGCCGCTCTTATCGTACTCGTAAAGAAATGGGCGCGTTCAACCACTTTAAAAGTATAGTTTGTGTTGGAAGACGTGGTTCAACTTAAATTCCAAGAATGTTGTGTTCGGTTTTCCTTTATATAAGCTTTTACATTTTCATTTCCTGACCGGTCAAAGAAGCCAAAAAAAAGTTTCACTTGTTATTTCGTTCGCGACGGTGGCAAGAGTATCCCCGCAACCCCAAGTTTGGTGGTTCCCGAACCGCATCATTATATGGAAATTCCAGAACGTTAACATGGTCCTGTAAGCAGTTTTGTCTAGTTATCTTGAATTATCAGATTGATTACATAGGATACTATAAGACGGTTGTTTTGTGGCTATTCCGGTATGCTTTTATCTCCAACATGTTTGATCCATACGAGTTAAGGTTGTATTTTGCACCGACAAATTTAAGCGGAGTTTAGCTTAAGCGTAGCTTAAAATCCATGGCAACCACTGTCTCAATAATCGTTACCATGGATTTTAAGCGACGCTTAAGCTAAGCTCCGCTTAAATTGGTTGGTGGAAACGGGCATTAGCCTCCTACTATCTTGGCGATCTAACGCCGACTGCAAGTCACACCGAAATATTCAATTTCAAACAGTTTCAAAATTGGGTTACTAGCTCAAAAGTTACATCCCTTTGAATTTTCTTTCGAAATTGGTTTCTAGTCTATATAACTTTTGATTGAGAAGTCTGATCGAAAAAGTACGAATTATTTTGGATTTTACGCACCAACATTAATAAGATAAAGTGTTTTCGCGAGAAATTTTGGTGCAGTCGATTTTTGGTAAAAAAGGAAGGTTATACATTGCCTTTTTTGAGGCCCGAAAAAAAATTGTCTCAGATCGAGCCGGAAAAAACGTTTTCTTATAGAATGTGGTCTGTAGAATCCATAATTTCAAACAGTTCCAAGATTGGGCTACTAGTTCAAAAGTTACAGCCCTTTGAATTTTCTTTCGAAATTGGTTTCTAGTCTATAACTTTTGATTGAGAAGTCCGATCGAAAAAGTACGAATTGTTTTGGATTCTACGCACCAAAATTAATAAGAAAAAGTGTTTTCCCGAGAAATTTTGGTGCAGTCGATTTTTGGTAAAAAAAGGAAGGTTATACACTGACTTTTTGTGAGGCTAGAAAAAAAATGTCGACCGGGAAAAAACATTTTCTTATAGAATTTGACCCGTAGAATCCATAATTTCAAACAGTTTGAAGATTGGGCTACTAGTTCAAAAGTTACAGCCCTTTGAATTTTTTTTCGAAATTGTTCGTGCTTTCTACAGATGGCGCAAAACGCTTTTCCCTCCAAAAAATTGCGTGGTTGCCAACTCTCAAAAATGCGTGCATCGTCGTAAGCTGTATATACAGGGTGGAACCTTTCAACCTATAGCAAAGCAAACAAGTGCCGCACTCTGCCAAGGGAAACAAGAGGACAATAGCGCGTTCGCACCTCCAGATGTAGTATGGTGCTTATGGACCTACAGTACATACTAGCCAAACATATTATCAGGATCTTAGACTAATCTAAAATAAGGATCAAACACTGCACCGTAAGAGGGTCGTATTGACACCATTTATTAAATTTTGATTCAATTGTTTATTTATAAAATTTGAAAAATGACAACGTAATTAAGCTTCATTGTAAATTACAGCACAAGGAGATGCATATCATTAAAGCCTGGATGTGCGAGCATAGAATAGGAATGAATGGTTGATGAACGATAAACCGTACGATAACATAACAATCCTATTTATCAAAAGACATCGTACAGAAATATCAGATGAAATAAATATAAATTGGCATATAAACAATAAAACGTGTTAACACATTCATGATCTGTTATGTGTCCCCAGATGTCTTTTAAAATGATATTCATTATTGGTTGTGTATTCACACCGAGCGCATTTTAAATCTTTCTTGGTTGTCTTGTGTGATAACAGATGTTTTTTCCAACTGGTTTTATAAATGGATGCAAAATCACACTGGACACACTTAAAATGGTTGGAAGGCTGGTGTGTTAAGAGATGAGTTTTCAATTTGCGTTTAGTGTTCGTTGCGTAATCACACTGTGTACATTTTAAATCCATAAAAATCTTGTGCGTCAGGAGATGCTGTTTAAAGTGAGATTTATTATTGGTTGCGTAATCACACTGGTTACATTTGAAATCCTTAATCTTTTGTGTCTGGAGGTGACTCGAGAGGTGCTCTTGAAAGTGGGATTTATTATTGGTTGCATAATCACACTGATTACATTTGAAATCCGTTGCTGTTTTGTGTGTTATTAGATGTAGTTTCAAAAGGGGTTCACTATCTGTTGTGTAACCACACCGGATACAACTTAAACCTATTGAAATTTGAGGTAGATTTCCTTCTTCTTTCCAATTACGTGTCACAATAGAAGAATTTGTCTCCTCAAGTTCCACTTTTATTGTTTCAGAAACGTCATTGTTAAGAAAAACCTCCTCCTCAATGAATTCATTTAATTCTTCCTCTTGTTTTATTTCAACTTTTACAATTGCTGCCATTACAGAAACACAGTAGGTCCCTTTGTATCTGGAACATAAATGAGAAAAGATACCTCACGACATGTGTGTACTCACCGTCTTGTTTGTAAAATGCTGTTTTTCATTGATCAAAACGAGAAAAAATAATAATTAAATTTGGGATGATAATCCACTTCCATAGTGTGGCTGTGGTTGACAGATCAACCAATGGGCGTGTTCGACTACTTTGCAAAATTGGAGATGCGTTCGTGTATTGATGAATGATGTACCAGAAAAAGTGTTGACATCGTATCGTTTTTTTTATAACAAAATGGAGTAAAACGAGAGTGCTGACGGAGCGCATATAGACGTGACCACGTGGTCTGCAGGGAGTGTTTACGAGTGGAGTTAAATCCGTTGCGGACGAAAACACGCCGTATTCGCGCATGACGTTAGACCTAACCACACATAGTTGCCGATCTTCCCGTCAAATTTTGTTCGACTTGGCATTGTGCAGCTTCGACGGCTCATACGCCACATATAACTATATTTACAGGGACGGGTAAAAGTTATATACAGAGCGTGCTAAGGATAATAATTACTTTGAAGTAATAACGAAAGGTAAAAACTTAATTTTGGGGACGCAACAAAAATGTGCACCTTTAACCTAAATGGTACAATTCTTAAGCGTCTTTTGCTAAAGCCCTTCCTACACATCTAAGGCACACATACACTATACAAGGTGGAATCTCTCAAGCCCAAAATTTGTATCACGCCACAAAAAAGTTGTGGTAACATGACAAAGTTGCAATGTTGAAATGCCAACTTCCATGATCAGATCGTATAGGCAGAACCCTGCACGTGACACGGAGATTAATTAAAACGCTGCAATCTCAGAATGTTTTTTATTTTGAATTTCTGTAAACCTGCAACAGGTATGATTTAAAACTGGACACATTAAAAAAGGTAGGAAAACTCGTGTGTTAACAGATGAGTTCTCAAATTACGTTTAGCTTTTGTCGCATAATCACACTGTGTACATTTTAAATCGTTGAAAGTCTTGTGTGTCTGGAGGTGATCTTTAAGGCGAAATTTATAATTGGTTGCGTAATCACACTGAGTACATTTTAAATCCTTGAAAGTCTTGTGTCGCAGAAGATGTGATCTATAAAGGGTTTTAATATTAGTTCCGTAATCACACTGGGCACATTTGAAATCCTTTGCAGCTTTGTGTGTTAACAAATGCCTTCTTAGGTAGGATCTATTATTAGTTAAGTAATCGCACTGATTGCATTTTAAATCCTTGAATATCTTGTGTGTCAGTAGATGATCTCTAAGGTGGGATTTATAATTAGTAGCGTAATCACATTGAGCACATCTTAAATCCTTGTAGGTCTTGTGGGTCAGGAGATGTTCTCTAAGATTGCATTTATAATTGGTTGCGTAATCACAGTGGGCACATTTTAAATCCTTCAAAACCTTGTGCGTCACGAGATGAGCTTTAAAGAGAGATTTACTGTTAGTTGCATAATCACACTGAACACATTCGAAATCCTTAGTAGCCTTATGTGTTAACAGATGCCTCTTTAAGTAGTATTTAATATTAGTTACGTAATCACACAAATTGCATTTTAAATCCTTCACGGTGCTGTGTGTTAATAAATGTTGTTTAAAGGTGCGTCTAGAATTAGTTGCGTAATCGCATTGTGCGCATTTTAAATACTTTATCGGATTGTGTGTTAATTGATGTTGTTTCACACTGGATTTATACGGAGACACAAAATCACACTGGACACATTTAAAATGGTTGGAAGACTCATGTGTTAGCAGATGAGTTCTCAAATTGCGTTTGCCCTTGGTTGCATAATCACACTGTGTACATTTTAAATCCTTGAAAAGCTTATGTGTCATGAGATGATTTTTAAGTTGGGCTTTATAATTGGTTGCAAAATCACACTGACCACATTTTAAATCCTTGGTTATCTTGTGCTTCAGGAGATGCTGTTTCAAGTTGGATGTATTAGTGGTTGCGTAATCACAATGGACACATTTTAATTTCTTAGCTGTTTTGTGTGTTATAAGATGTCTTTTATAGTTGGGTTTGTTATTGGTTGTGTAATCGCATTGGATACAATTTAAACCTCTTGAAATTTGCAATCGATTGGGGTATCGGAAATCTTCAGAACGCTTGTGTAAAATAACACCAACAGATTCATTTTCCTGCTGTACCTTTCTTTCTTCGGTCCAATTAAGTGGCACATTAGAATGCGGTCCCTCAAGATCCAGTTTCATTGTTGCCGAGACATCGTTATTGAGAAAAACCTTCTCCTCAATGAATTCATTTAATTCTTCCTCTTGTTTTATTTCAACTTTTACAATTGCCGACATCACCGTTTTTACAAAAAAAAAACACATCAAGGGCCCCTCTGTATTTGCAAGGAACTATTATAGACAAATAACCGTACTTGAATTTATTGCAACTTGTGTGAACTTAGTAACGACAATTGTCTTTTTTTTTAAATTATTTTTTCCATGGGTTGGAAAGAGAAGAAAATAAAATTTTACACACACGTTTCCCAGGCTTGTCATCGACAAGAAATGGGCGCGTTCAACTATTTTGCAAGTTTAGTTGGAAGAAGTAGTTCACTTAAATTGCAAGTAGAGTAGATGGATTTCTCTTTATAATAACTATAGCTCATCAGAGCGAATGCACCAAAGCCATTTATTGCAGTTATTCACAGCGGAGGACGAACTTCGGCCCATGCCTCAATGATTACGCCAAGCGTCACTCGAGCAATGAGTTTATGTTAGCTATTTCTGTTAGGTTAGGTTTTACGCCATTATTTTTCTGGGTTGCATCCGACGTTGAAATATACAGGGTATTTAAAGGGATATAGACATCTCAAGTTCCGATAAAATGGGCCAAATTCGACTTCGGATCACACGACATTACCCGAAGCGTGACGTGTAGCGGATGAAATGATTTTACTTCCATGCCGAACATATAGTGCATACAGAGCGATCGTTTCAAACATTTTCTATGCCTATGATTTCTGAAAGTAAAATACCGAGACTTGTTTTCATTAAAAAACAGAAAAAAAACACGGTAAAGAATTAGGTAAAAATTACATGGAATACGAATGTTGCATGCATTTTGTCTATAGGTACACTTAAAATAAATAGAGCGAATAAACCTCTTGCTGGAATAAGTAAAGTGTCCCAAATAAGAGGATCAATCGCTACATTATGATTTATTATTGATGCAACAATCTGTATGTTGCCATGTTCATATCCCTTCGACCACCCTGTGTGTGTTTTGTTGTATGAGACTAATATCTTCCTATCGTGATAAGGAGCTAGGACGCTAGAATAGAAACGTATTTTAGAGCTAAGACACAAAAAGATCCGGGGCCGTCGAACATTCAACTTTAGTGGCGTAACATCCGCAACCGAAGACCGCCATACCCGCCCCAATTATTAATATTCTTCAGTTTAGTGATCACACGTGATCAATTGAGGAGGGTTACGAGGCACCGATAGTAGTGCCGGAGCTCTGAGCATTACACCAATGTCACTATGTGGAAGCTGTGTTTGATTGGGCCCTCCACAAGCACACAGGCGAATACGCTGGCCGAAACCTAACAAATGTTATTTGTAAGGTCCATCAATCCAAGACAGGCTTAAAAATGGGCTACCTTCTAACTTAATTTCGCTTGTATTCAATGTGAAGGATTTTCTCTTTAGTCTGCTTTTGCGTTTAGGCTTTGCTTGCTTTGCTTTAATGAATGAACCGCGTTTAATTTGAGTGTTCTTGCCCTACTGAGCTCTGAGCCATTCTATTATCTTCGTGTAACGTGAGGGGGTCCTATCTTAGTGCCATTCCTTTACTTTTAAATGTAAGCGCGGGAACTCTGTTTTGATGCTGGGATTTCAACGTTGCCACTTTGCCTTAAAATCTGTCCTGTTAGCTTCTAACGTGGAGGGTGGGTGAAGATCAGTACAATGTCCGTCGTCTAAACAAGTAGAACAGACCATAGCGAAGTTGACTTCGCAAACAAGAACAAAATTTTTTGCATTCACCCTGTATATGAAATAATTTTGTATCCAACCCACGCTTGACGCTTAAAGGTTATGTCACTGACTTCTTTTGTTTAGTTTAGTGGATTGTCTTAAAGGTAGGTCTACGTTCATTTTCAATCACTTATTTAATTGATGGGGGCCCACTGATTGCGCAAACACTTTAATTGAGATTGTTTGAATCAGCATAGACCATGCAAAATGCATGGGTAATTTTAGTTAAGGAAAATTCCTTGTTGTAGGTAGTTGTGATGTCTGCAATTGTCAAACTTGAAGTGGAACGAGAAGAAGAACTAAATGAATTCATCGATGAGAAAGTGTTACTTCATAATGTGTCCAGTATGATAAAAGCAGAACTTGACGAGATTGCCATCCGTGCCACACATCAAAATGAGGTGCCTCAGCAGAATGAAGTTTTTAATTGTACCAAGTGTGATTACACGACGAATAATAAACACACTTTGAAAACACATCTGTTAGGGCACAAGATTTCGAAGAAATTTAAATGTGCCCAATGTGATTATGCAACAAATAATTCTAATTATTTTAAAGCTCATTTATTAACTCACACAGGAAAAAGTTTTAAATGTGGCCAGTGTGATTACACAGCGATTTTTAAAAGTCATTTGAGTAAACACCTGGTCACGCACAGAGATTTAAAATGCGCTCAATGTGTTTATGCAACTAATAGTAAGGCACGTTTGAAAACGCATCTACTAAAACATAAGGCTTCAAAGGATCTCATGTGTGCACACTGCGATTACGTAACTAGTAATAAATGCCATTTAAAAGGACATCTCTATAGTAAACATAGAAGTTCGAAGGATCTGAAGTGTTCGCAGTGTAATTTCGAAACCAATTACAAGTCTTATTTTAAACAACACGTATTAACACACAGCGTGCCCGTGGTTTTTAAATGCGCTCATTGTGATTACACAACCAGGGACAAATGCAATTTACGAACGCATCTGTCAGTACACAGGGCTGCCAAGGATTTGAAATGCTCACAGTGCGATTACATGACGAATTTTAGATCTTGTTATAAAACACATCTGTTAATACATAAGACCACCAAGGATTTCAAGTGTTCTCAGTGTAATTACGAAACTAATAATAAGTACCATTTTAAGAATCATCTCTTAAAACACACCTCCGTTGATTTGAAATGTTCACATTGCGATTTCACAACCAATAACAACTCTCATCTCAAGACGCACCTTTTAACACACTTTGAGCATTTCAAGTGTGCTCATTGTGATTACGTTACAAATCGCAAATTTTATTTAGAAAAGCATCTGTTAAAGCACAAGACTGTAAAATGTGCTCATTGTAATTACTCGACCAATAATAATTCTCGTTTTAAAGCACACCTGTGGAGGCATAAAAATTCGTATAAATGTGCTCAGTGTGACTATGTAACCATTTATAGTAGCCATTATAACAGACATCTTTTAAGGCATACGACTTCTAAGGATATAAAATGTGATCGGTGTAATTACGCGACCAATCATAAACAAAATTTGAAAGTGCACATGCGAACGCACAAGAATTCCAAGGAGTATAAATGCGATCAGTGTGACTTCGCCACGAATTACAAACATCATCTAAATCAGCATGTTTTAAGACACCATGCTTCGTGCAAGTGATAAATCTGTTGCAGAAATGTGAGCGAATTTTTGCAGTATCTGTAGTGAAGATATCGTGCTCTCCACTCCATGTAAGGTTAAACAATTGTACTTGTTAATTAACAATTAGGTATCTATATTATACATCTCATATGCAATTAACTATGTGAAAAGGTCAATAAACACAATAAAGTAGTTAACAATTATTTCATTTTGGACGATAGTAGTATAGAACCCGGAAACTCTCCAGGTTTGGTACTGTGTGTGTGTAACTGTAACGGGAAACCGTTGGCAGATTTGATTTAATTCGAATTTTAATTAATTTTCTTTTATTTTGTATATGGACGGATGGTACTGGAATACAGGCCAGACTTTTTAAATGCGTGAAAAAGCTGGCGGGTACAGTGACCCGCTTAGTTAGATTACAGGAAGATTTTGCAGTCGTGGTTATCATTTGGTACACGCGGAGTAGGTTTACGTGTGTCAAGAAATCTCATTGGACGAAAAATTTAGGTTTAATTGGTGGACAAAAGTGGCGTTGTGTCACGGAATAGGTGTAAACTAACAAAGAAAGTAGCGGGAATTAGCTTATTGGTAGAGCCGTGGTGCAATGCGCATTCAACCACAATAGCTTAAGCCGTAAGGAAATTCGCGTCGAGCCGCGGGAAAAAAAATTAACATCAAATTGCGAGACCATTCGCGTAGAGGAATTGTAGTGTACTTAACCCCCAGGTTCCACGCTAACTTCACACTACAAGAACACGGAAATAAAGTCAATCCGGCAACGTTTAAAAATGGCCACCCGAATAAATTTTCCCACCAAAACTAAACAAGATCCCGCTTAAATTTGAAAAGTGGCACGTGATCAAACATCTAAGGCAGGACCCCCTTACGTTAGTTGTAGACAACACTTTGACCTGAAGCACAGTAGAGAAGGAACGTAAAATAAAACACTCAAATTGTGAAAAGTTTGTTTAGTAATGATCGCAATTATTAAGATTGTGAAAGCTCGGAAATTTAAGTCGAAATGAATTACATTGCAAAAATAAACTCACCGAACAAAAATAGAAATAGGCTGGGAAAAAAAGAACTTACCAATAAAAAAACCAGCCCTCAAATTAATATCAAATTGTGTTGTCAAATTAATTGTTTGTACTAATGTGAATGCGAAACATAAAATTATAACATCACAAAAATTAGCAGGTAAACTTCAAGAGGTAACATACAGGTTAAAAACTAGTTTTGGGAATTATGGGTCAGGTAAGCAGGTACCAAGATTCTAAGAAAGGGTGAGATACACAGGATGTGACTCATCTTTGGTGCCATAAAGTCTTTTTGTTAAAAGCAAGATGGAAAATTACATGGCCTTGTAGGCAAATTTAACCAAAAACAAGATATGTGGAAATTACGAATCGTAACTCATTTATCGCACATAGATTCTAAACTGAAGAGCTTTGATTAGCGTAAATCCGCTCCTGCAAGATAGGTAACCCGCCCCTGGTTTCGGGGTTTCGAGCCTACAGTTGAATGTCGAAGACAATCACGGAATTAGGTTTCGTAGCTCAAATTTGACTACAGTTTTTACCACCCCCGTGACTGCTTCATTCACGGAAAAAATGTTAGTAACAAACAACAAGTCAGTACATACATCAAACGAATCGGAAATTTCCACATATTAAAATAAAATGTTCAAAGCTTATATGAATGTTACTTGAGGGACAAGACCAAGTAATCACCATCAATAAACATAAATTTACGCAAGCATTACACCAAAAACGTAAACAATTACAAACAATAGCATAACGGTATCACATATGTCATTCTGCATTGCGGTTAAACCAAGTAAATTTCAAAAACAAAGATTCAAAAAAAAAATATAAAATATGGCATACAAAACACAAATACGATATAAATAAATGCAAAAATTACTACCTGCATTAAATAACACATAATAACAACAAACATTTATGGAGCGACGCGTTCACGACCGCCATTCAAGACAAGATGCCAAACGTAACCCTCATTCGTGCTTTCTAAGTGGCGCAGGCAACTTTTCTCCACCTAGAAATTGCATGGTTGCCAACTCTCAAAAATGTATGTATCGTCGTAAGTTGTATATACAGGGTGGAACCTTTCAAACCCTTTGCAACTAGACGCGCACGATAACACCTTTTATTTTCATGATCAAGTTTCTTTTTAAAAACCCACTTACACTCAACTAATGTGCCACCACTCGGAGAATCAACCAACCCCCATGCCTCGGTTCTTCAAAATTATTTCCGTTTTTAATTAATTGACTTACGAGCAATAAGTTTGTAGTCAGCTCCAGAACATGGGATACTTGCTGGATTTGGATGTCATGGTTTTTGTTTGCACTGATCGTAGTCAAATCAACTTTTCCGGCACACACGACACGCATTTTTCTTTGTTCGCGACCAAAATTTCTGTTAACTCGATTTCCTCGGTTACTTAACTTAATCAATCTTTTCGCGACGTTAAATGCACTTGCACCCGAATCGATGTACCAATCCGTATTATTGAAATTTCCACTTAAAAACACCGCACTAAACGCACTTTTTTCTTCGCCCTTTTTTTGTGTGAAAGCTTTGAAACTCCTTTCGTAAGGTGGGACATTTACTTTTGAAGTGACCGGTTTGCTTACATTCGTAGCAAACGACTTCTTTGATATTTTTCTTCGAAGTGGTACTGGTACTTCCCTCTTTCGGAATCGTACGGAATTTGCCTTTACCGGCAAACGTGCTACCTGCAGATTTGTCACCGCTGCTGCTGCCCTCCTTCTGCATGTCAATCAACTTTGCTTTCATGGCATCAGCTGTTATCCCGCTATGCTCAATAGCCATGATCATTGGGGTAAATCTATCTGGTAATCCGGCTAATAGAAGTCACTACGCTTTAATTTCTGCGATGTTTCAATCATCTGACCATGCTCTCACAGTTATCTAACCTTAAACTTCTGAGGGTCCTTAAAAGATCAATCTTTCTGGTAAAGTCTTTTTCGCCATATAAACCTTTGAGTGTATCCCACAGCTCGACTGCTGTCTTTGACTCCCGAATATGAATGTAAATCGATTGACAAAACAACACGGAATAGGTGATTTAAAACAGACAAGCAGCGGAACTAGGTTCTTGATGGAGCCGTGGCGCAATGCGCAATCAACCACAATAGCGTTCGCATCGGCCACCTGCAAGCGCAAGGTGGATTTTCGTTTGTGTAAAGAATTCAGCTTAAGCCGTGAGGCAATTCGCGTCGAGCCGCGGGAAAAAAAATTAACATCAAATGGCGAGATCAATCGCGTAGAGGGGTCGCGGTCGTAGAAATTCGAGCAAAGCGGCGAGCGACAAAAATGATTTTCAACTTGAAGGAGAATATAACCATACTTTTGCCATTTTATATTCTAAACAAACCGATGCCTTCAAAATTGTAAAATTAACTCTTAAACAAGCGATTTGAGAACACATTCATAAAAATACTGGAACATAAATCGTTACAAACTACTACTGCCTATTGATTTCCTTTTATATTATGAAGGTTTAAATGCAACAAGAAGTGGAGAGATATTACAACATTTGAGAGTGCATGAAGCCTCGATTTATATCTGTCAAACTAGTCTTAAGAGATATGATTGGTAAAAGGATGGAGGCGGACGTTCAACGGGCGTAGTTTTAGGAAAAACTAGGGCGAACAGTCTACGAGAGGGGTGTTCCAGCGCAGTAAAAGTTGCTTCACTTTACATAGATCCTTTATACATCCTTCGCGACGTGTTACAGCACATCCTAAAGGTTAATTTTTTTCTAAAATCCTAAAATTTGGTAAGATTACATTGATAATTTAAAACAAACACCACGAACAAACCTCTAATAACTAATCATGATAATTAAACAGTACCTAACTAACAATATTATTATTATTATTACATTCAAGAAAAAAGGCAGGCAAGATATTCTGAAAACTGGTCAAGTAAGCAAGGACAGGGTAATGTACATTTGCACCAGTTTCTTTATCTCTTCTGATCAGACAATGGAACATTCAAATAGAACCAGACCAACACAAAAGTCTTCCAATCAAAAACGCCACAAGTATAACACAGATATTAAGGGAGGAAGAAAGCGGTTTTCCAGGCTGCCCTGCTTGCCTTAATAGCAAGGAGACATGCCGTGCTCTACTATGCACACTTTCAATTCCTATCAGTTTTATAAAGTGCCAGCTGATGTTTTTTCAAATCGAATTCGACATTAATTGTGTAATCGCAGTAGCCACATTTTAATTACTTCATGTCCTGTGTATCAGCAAATGTCTTCTCAAGTTGCGTTTGTCGTTACTTACGTAATCACAGTGACCACATTTTAAATCCTTGGTAGTCCTGTGTGTCAGCAAATGTTTTCGCAAGTTGCGTTTGTCATTAGTGACGTAATCACACTGACCACATTTTAAATCCTTGCTTTTGTGTCTAATTCGATGTTTTCCTAAACTGTGTCTCGTATAGGCCGCGTAATCACACTGATTACATTTGAAATCCCTGGAATTGTTGTGCGTCAAAAGATGCGTCTTAAATAGGTATTTGTTATTGGTCGCGTAATTGCACTTCGTACACTTTAAATCCTTGGCATTGTGGGTAAGTAGGTGTCTTCTCAAGTTGGATTCGTTATTAGTTACGTAATCGCACCGGTCGCATTTTAAACCCTTGCCCTTGTGCGTAAGTAAATGTTTTCTCAAACTGGGTTTGGTATTCGCCGCGTAATCGCATTGATCACACTTGAAATCCTTGGTAGTGTTGTGTGTCAGAATATGTGCTTTTAAAAGCACCTTGTTATTGGTCGCGTAATCACACCGGGCACATTTTAAATCTTTGCTCTTATGTATGAACACGTGCGTTTTAAAAACGTATTTATTCGTCGTTGCGAACTCACAAATGGCACAGTTGAAGTTCTTGTCAAACTGATGTGTTAAAAGATGGGTTTTAAAAAGGTGCTTGTTATTGGTTTCGTAATTACACACAGCACATTTTAACTCCTTAACAGTTTTGTGTGTTAAAAGATGCGTTATTAAAACGTATTTATTATTGGTTGAGTATTCGCAGTGGGCACAATTAAAATTCTTGACCAGCTGATGTGTTAAAAGGTGGGCTTTAAAGTGGTACTTATTATTGGTTTCATAATCACACACGGCACATTTTAACTGCTTACCGGTTTTGTGTCCTAAAAGATGTGTATTAAAAAAGTATTTATTGTTGGTTGCGTACTCGCACTGGACGCATTTAAAACTCTGGTGTGTCTTGGAGCAGGGTTTATTATTGCCCTCATCATGTCTAATCCGATGTTTTCGCAAACTGGATTTAATATTGCTTGAAAAATTACTCTGAGCGCTGTTATGAGTTAACAGATGCAATTTCAGGTGATGTTTCAAACTTGATTTGTAATTGGTGGTAAAATCACAGTGGAAACACCCCAACTCCTTAGTATTCTTGTGCGACAACAGATGATATCTCAGATTAGAGTTGGTTCTGGTAGCATAATCACACTGGGTGCATTTAATGTCCTTCATAGCTTTGTGTGTTAACAAATGTTTTCTTAAATCTGATTTGCTATTGGTTACATAATTACACTGAGCGCACTCAAAATCCTTAGCAGTCTTGTGCCTTAACAGATGCGATTTAAAACAGGATTTATAATTCGTTCCATAATCACACTGTGCACATTTAAAATCCTTCGAAGCTTTATGTCTTAATAGATGCGTTTTGATATGTTTCTTGTTATTGGTTGCATAATCACAAAGGGCGCATTTTAAATCTTTGATTGTCATATGCATTAGAAGATGTGTTCTAAAATTAGATTTGTCATTAGTTGCGTAACTGCACTGGTCACATTTAATTATTCCAGTACACTTCTGGTGCCTTCGTAGATGTGTTTTAAGACGGGAATTATCGTTAGATTCGTAACCACACCGGTCACATTTAAAATCATTGGAAATTTGTGACCGATCAGGATGTGTGACATCTTCAAATTCGTGCTTTTCTTCTTTTTGGTCTTCGCAAATACAGGAATTCGCACTAATCGTAACTTGACCAATTTCCCGCTTAATCGATGGCAAGACATCATTAAGTACAACCTTTTCGTCAATTAATGAATTTATTTCGGTTTGTTCTTGTTTGATTTCCACTTTTACAGCAGCCATCCTTAAGGAAACTTCGGTATCTTGGGCATTAGGAAGAACGACGTCTCTTCAACCTTCAATACATCGAAAGTTTCACCGACATTGGAATAATTATTCCATTATTTGTAATCTTCTCCTCGTTCACTCACAAAATTCTTAAATACTTCAAGAAAGTAATTACCAAAACAAACGTCATAGACGCCATCTTTATAACATTTGAAAACAGTGTTGTCACTTTTCTGTAAAATCAAATAAAAGCGGGGTCTTTTCAATTCTTCTTTTACGGATCTTGAATGCGTTCACATTATTCAGACGTCAATAGTTCAAAACAAAAGGGAAACAGAAACGCTGCGCGAACCCTAATCATGAAAGCAGTACAGTATAAAATGAATTGTGCTCTCACAAAGCGCACCGCGTTTACTCTGCAAGGGTGAAAGAACTGAAAAATACCGGTTCTATAAATGAGAGTATAAATTGCAACTTGTTTCGGTTCCGGTTCAAACCCCTGGCCTCGACGTTTGATCACGTATAATTATTTAATTTGAAATTTAACCGAAATCTGATTACCTTTCCTAGGGAAAATTCATATCGCACATAGACTCTAAACCGAAGTTTTTTTAGCAGAATCTCACCCCCAAGATAGGTAACTTGCCCTTCGTGCAGGGAATTCAAGTCTACAGTTAAGAATCGAGGTCAGTCCCAGCATTAGGGGTCGTAACTAATGTGGTTACAGTTATTTGCCATTCACGGGGACAAATTTAAATAAATGACCAAATATATAAATTTACCTTGGGCCAAAAGACCATGTAATCAAAACATAAATTTAGTAATAATTTACACCAAAAACACAAACCATTTTTGACGAGTGCTTTTGCAAATACTCTTCGATACTCGTTTACGACCAAGAGGCTGCCTGACAATGCGTTCCACATTCACAATGTTCACCTTTTAAATTCTTTCTAGATGTTTTCTGAAATTGTATTTATCATTAGTTACATAACCATAATGAGCACATTTTAAATCTCTTAAGGTCCTGTGCCTTATTCGTTAAAGGTTAAAGTATTAGCGCGAGTTCTCTCCACAAAAATGCCAAATTTCCCCGATGTATTGACTCAACACGAAGTAGTTTCCCCCTGATCCCGCAAAATCCATGCTACTTAGCAGCCTCGGTTAACGACGATTGCAAAATAAACAAAATCCTCATGCAATCCGAACTAACCACGACCTATCGGCGCCGCAAGCTTTCAAACGCATTTACAAAGCGAGGACCCCGAAAAAATTCGAATCAAATAAAATCCGTTAACGGGTTCCCGTTACAACACCCATGTCTGATCATCTGTTACAATGCACGAAAAAATAACAGTCATCGTTCACCACAGCGTCCAAATGTTCGTATATTGTATAATAACCACACTCCAGTTTTTCAAGCTTGCAGCATAAGCGTCACATTTCTTACATTAGGCACTATTAAAATATTAAATTTTACACTTAAAAATACAAGCTACCTATGTAAGTTTAAACCCATAAATTTGCCTTACAAAAAAAAAAATTTCGTACAAATTGCTAAAGGAAACAACATTTGTTCCCTCTATGAGGCTTGTGAAAGAACCACATTAAATTGTGTTGGCAGATGTTTTCCCCGTGTGTTTTAACAGATGTCTTTTAAAATTACATTTCACATTAGTTGCGTAGTCACAACGTGCACACTTGAAATCCTTTAAGATCCGATGTGTTAAAAGATGCACTTTCAAATTAGAACTAGAATCAGTTGAGTAAGGACACTGGGTACATTTTAAATTTTTAGCGATCCTGTGCGTTAAGAGATGTTTTATCAAAAAGGATTTGTGACTGAATGCGTTATCACACTGGGCACAATTAAATTCCTTGGGAAGCTTGTGCCTTAACAGATGTTGCTTCAAGTAGGATTTGCTGTAGGTTGCATAATCACACTGGCCACATTTTAAAACCTTGGCTGTGTGCGTTAACAAATGTTTTTTCAAACTGTATTTTACATTAGTGGTATAATCGCACAATGCACATTGTATATCTTTGACGGCCTTGTGGGTCAACAGATGTCTCCCCAAACTGTATTTCTGTTTGGTCGCGTAATCACAATGGGCACATTTGAAATTCTTCAAAGTCTTATGTTTTAACAGATGCGTATTTAAATTGCATTTACTATTGGTCGCGTAATTGCAATAGTCACATTTTAAATCCTTGACAGTCTTGTGTGTTAACAGATGTGTTTTAAGACTGGTTTTATATTTGGATGCAAAGTCACACTGTTCGCATTGAAAATTCTTGGCAGTACTGTGCGTTACAAGATGTCTTTCAAAATGAGCCTTGTTATTGGTTGCGTAATTACATAGGTCACATTGAAAATCCTTTGTACTTTTATGAGTTAACAGATGTCTTTTAAAGTTGGACTGATCATTGGTACCGTAATCACACAGGTCACATTTAAAATGTTTGACGGTCGCGTGAATTAACAGATGTTTCCTCAAACCGGACTTGAAATTAGTCACGTACGTACACTGGGAACAGCTTAATTCCTTAGTTGTCTTGTGTACCAACCGATGTATTTGCAATTGGTATTTATACTTTGCTGAGTAATCACATTGATCACATTTAAAATCGTTTGAAATTCGTGGGATATTTTCGGAGTAGTTGTCCAAGAGGTATACGGCAAAGTTATGTTTCCGCTCGAGTTCACTTTCGTCTTTTACATTATCCTCGCAGTGTTCTTCCTTTATTGTTCCTGTGACATCATCTCTAAGGTAAATCGTCTCGTCGAAGAATGTACTTATTTCTTGTTTAATTTCCTCTTTTACAACTGCATGCGTCATCACACAAGATTCTGCACTGCAACAAAAGTACTTCAGTAAATTGTTAACGCAAAAAAGGTGTGTACTTGCGTATGGCAAATGTCAAAACTCAAAACGCCATTAAACTAATGGGCGCATTCAGCGGGTCAAACGCCAAAAGCCAGGGACGGACAAAATCACATAGGGAACCTTTAAAGGCCGCTTGACATGGAGCAATACTACGCGCAAGAACTTGCAGAAAGAAATTGCAAGGTCAAATCCTTGCATGCAATAAGCATTGCATGGTATTTGACATGGTGCAATTCTATTTCAATTGCCACATGTCTGCCAACAGAAGAAACATATGGATTTGTCAACAAAGTAGTTAACCTCAAATGAAAATTAAATTTTGATTGCTTGAAGAAACGTGAAAATTACAAGAATAAATAAGATTAATAAAAACAAGTAATGAGTGCGTCTCTCAGCATCATAGTTGCCGCCGCTGTATTTTACTAGGTTGGTGACACAAAAACAACTAGATTTATCCCTAGAATTGCACGATTCATGCAAGAAAAATAGCACCTGTCCTATAAAAATTGCATGCAAGTCTCTTGCAGCAATTGATCAGCTGGCTTTGAACTGCGCATGCCTTTCGCAATTTTTCTTGCAACTTGCATGCAATTGCAATTTTTATTGCTCCATGTCAAGCGGGCTTAAGTAACATTTTTGATTTTCATGAGCCAAAGAGAAAATTGCAGCCACCACACGTTCACAGTGGATTACATTCTATGGAAAAAATACACATGCCTAATACTTTGCTCTTTGTCACCATCAGAGATAACAGAATCCTACTTAACGGATCACTGTTACCTGAGGATATGACCAATACCATATGAGAGCAAGTAAACCCATGATGCGCCAGGGATCGGATATATAACAACAATAGGCATAATACAACAATTCTAATAGTTCGACATTTAAGAATCCACCAGCAAACAAGGCCACCACCAAAGGAGATAGGAATCGAGCTAGAAACCGAAACACTGGGAACGCCGTACCATCCACAAGACACCTTCCTGATGGCGGCCCAAGATGTTCAATTAGAACGCCAAAATTAAGGAAATGTTTGCATACATTATATATATATATATATATATATATATATATCGATTATTCCCTCCTTTTTGGAGTCTTTAGAGTAGGTTTATTCAAAACAAGACCCATATCCAAAGTAGTTACAAATTAATTAGGTTAAATCAGCACAAAAAAATCAGACCCAGTTTAATGTAACATAATACCAAAATAGACCATATTAAATGATTAGAGTAATAAAACATAACCAAGGTGAGCAGTTTGTTCCATTCCTTCTGCTAGTAACCACTAGAAATCTTCTTAAGTTACAAGGTATCTTCTCAAACTGAATTTTTCATCGACGGTATAATCACCCTAGGCACATTTTAAATTCTTAGAGTTGTCTATGAGATGTCTTTGAAAATGGCATACTGTGCACATTTTATATTAGAAGTCTAATGTGTTAAAAAATGTTTGCTCAAATCAGATTTGTTATCGGTTAAAATGTATGCACTGTGTGTACGCAGATGTTTTGTCAGTCTGGATTTATCATTAGTTGCATAATCACAATAGACACATTTTAAATCCTTGGAATTTTGATGTGTTAAGAGATGTCTTCGAAAATTGAATTTCTTATTAGTTCCATAAGCACACTCTGCACATTTTAAATTAAAAGTCTCGTTTATTACCTTGTGTGTTAAAAGATGTTTTTTCAAATCAGATTTGTCACCTGTTGCATAATCACAATCGGTACAGTTTAAAATCTTGAAATTATGCATACGCAGATGTCTCGTCAAGCAGGATTTGTCATTGGTTGCGTAATCGCAATGGGCACATTTTAAAATCTTGAAGATTTCGTGTGTTAGAAGATGTCTCTGGAAATTGTAGTTTTTATTAGTTACATAAGTACACTCTACACATTTTAAATCACACGTCTTGCGTGTTAAAAGGTGTTGATCAATTTTGTGTGTTAGAAGGTGTCTTTGGAAATTGTAGTTTTTATTAGTCACATAAGCACACTCTACACATTTTAACTCACATGTCTTGCGTGTTAAAAGGTGTTGGCCTAAATCAATTTTGTGTGTTAGAAGATGTCTTCGGAAATTGTAGTTTTTATTAGTCATGTAAGCACACTCTACACATTTTAAATTACATGTCTTGCGTTTTAAAAGGTGTTGGCCCAAACCGGATTTGTTATTGGTTGCGTAATTAAAATGGGCACTATTGTGCGTACGCAGATGTTTTCTCAATCTGGATTTGTCATTAGATTCATAATCACAATGGGCACATTTAAAAATCTTCGAATTGTGCGTACGCAGATGTCTTGTCAAGCAAGATTTGTCATTGGTCGCGTAATCACAGTCGGTACATTTCAAATTTTTGGAGATTTTGTGTGTTAGGAGATGTCTTCGGAAATTGAACTTCTTATTAGTTGCGTAAGCGCACCGGGCACATTTGAAATCTTTTGAAATTGGTGAAATATCTTCCGAATAGTTATCCAGGAGGTATACACCAAATGTGTTTTTCTGCTCTAGTTCATTTTCGTCATTTACACTAGAATCGTCCGCACTGTACTCTTGCTTTATCGTTCCAGAGGCATCATCCGTCTCATCGAAGAATGCATCTCTTTCTTCTTGTTTAATTTCATCTTTTACAACTACATGCATCATCTCATAACAACAAAAAATGCTTCAACAAAAAAAAGTTAGTACTTTTGTCTGTAGTAAAAAAAACAACATAACCCCAAAAAATTAATGGGCGCATTCAACCGGCCAAATGCTTACAGGCAGGGACGGACAACGTATCAAACAGGGTTATTTTACATTTTCAATGTTGAAATTTATTCACTATACCCTAACATGTTCATATTGTAGTGATCTTTACGCGCCCCATATTCGAAGCTAACCAGACAGATTTGTAAGCAAAGTGGCAACGTTGAAATCATTAATTAACACATAGGTTTAGAAATATGAATAGTATCAAGTTTAACGTCGCGTTTAGTTTATTAGGAGTCATCAATAGGTTCTGATCACTCCTTTTGCTCTAAAGCGTTCGTTTATTGGTGCACCAGAAAATCTTGATAGCAAATCGACCGATAAATGGCACGAATGAACTCCTACGTTGCGTAATCGGTTGTTTTATGTGTTGGGACGTGAGGGAATTGAATGAAATGCTACATTTTGTGCGTCAGAAGACAAAAACAACTAAAATATATTACTCAAACAAAAATGCGATACTAGAGAAACCTTCTTCTGGACGAAAACCCCTGCATAACCCCCACAAATACATAGAATAAATTAACTACGGCAACAAATTGCGAGAAAATACACAAATATTATACGATAAAAATCTGGTAATCGAATCAAACACAAAATTCAATGCCTAAAAGCAGAGAAATGGACGCGTAATATAATGATTGACCAGAGTATTGCAAATTAGTTACAATGTGCAGTTTATTCAATGTCATCAGACTACAATAAAGCATTAACAGATGTTTCCTTGCAGATCTTGTGTGTTAAGAGATGTCTTTTAAAATTGGATATGCGATCGGTCACATAAAAACACTGTGCACATTTAAAAACATTTGATATTTTGTGTATTAGCAAATGTTTTCTCAAACTCTGTTTGACACCGGTTGCATAATCACAGTGGGCACATTTGAAATCCTTCGTAATCTTGTGTGCGGTTACGAAATCGCACTTCACAGTTTTGTGTGTTGCGTGATGTCTTTTCAAATGGCATTTGTAATTGGTTGTGTAATCGCACTCGCTACATTTCCAATCCTTACAAGTGTTGTGGTGTTTCGTCGAACTGGATTTACAGTTGGTTGCATAACCACACCGACCACACTTTAAATCCTTGACATTCTCGTGTGTTAACAAATGGTTTTTTAAACTAGATTTATACTTAGTTGCAAAATCACACTGTGCACATTTTAAATTATTGAAAATGATATGCGTCAGCAGATGATCTTTAAAATGAGAATTATGATTGGTTCTATAATGACACTGATGACATTTTAAATCATTCGCAGGCTTGTGAGTCGATAAATGTATTGTCCAATGAGATTTGTTATTGGTTGTGTAATCACACAGCCCACATTTTAGTCCACAGATTAACTGGTGTCTCAAAAGATGATTTCTCAATTTGTATTTGCTCGACGTTGTGTAACCACACTGGGTACATTTTAAATCATTGGAAATATGCGTTATGAAATGTTTTTTCAAACAGCCTTTGCGTTTGGTTGCATAATCACACTGAACACATTTAAAATTCTTAGATGTCTTGTGCGTTAACAGATGATACCTAAAATATTTTCTGATGCCGGTTGCATAATCGCATTGGCTACATTTTAAATCCTTTTGCATATCCTGATGTTTTAATAAAAAATGTTTTCTCAAAGCAGATTTGTCATTGGTAGCGTAATTACATCGGGCACATTTGAGTTCCTTAGTTGTCTTGTGTGTTAGCAAATGTTTTCTCAAACTCCATCTGACATTGGTTGCATAATCACAGTGGGCACATTTCAAGTCCTTCGAAGATTTGTGTACCAACATGTGCATTTTTATTTTAGATTTGCAATTGGTTGCGTAATCACATTGGGCACATTTTAAATCCTTGATTAGCTTGTGTGTTAAATCATGTTTTCTTAAATTGGATTTGTAATTGGTTATATAATCACACTGGGCACATTTCAAAACGCTGGAAGTATCGTGTATTAGCAAATGTTTTTGCAAATTGGATTTGGTGTTAGTGGCGTAATCGCACCGACCACATAGAAAATCCTTGACGTTATGTGTTAACTGATGGTACATCAGAAGGCGTTTATATTTGGCTGTGTATTCGCAATAGTCACATTTAAAATCATTGACAGTCTTGTGTGTTAACAAATGCTGTCTCAAACGGCGCCTGTAGTGGGATACGTAATCACACTGGTCACATTTAAAATCTTTTGATCGTTTAGAATGTGCTTCCAAATTAGCTGTTGCATTGCTAATATCATTATGTTCCCTCTTGATTGTATTGGAGACATAATTGCTCAGTAAAACCTCTTCAGCAATGAATGCAGTTACTGCTTCTTCTTGTTTTATTTCAACTTTGACAATGGCAGACATTTTCACCAACGTTTTGATCTAGAACATCACTACTTTCGGCAATTGTAGCACAAACTACTTACATACCCTCACAGGAATAGGTATGACTTCAGCATCAGTCACAAATCGTAAGTCATTTACGTTGCATGTGCTATGGAGAAACGAAAACTTGACGCAAACTCGCAAACAAGAAAGTCCCTAGAAAACAACACAAAAACACCAGCCATATGTTGCTTTCTTTTATTATTTTAATTAAACCAAAAATCCCCTAGGTTATTTACATGCATAGATGTCACAGTATCGCCCGGCACCATAATCCCGGATATCTCAAATCTAGCAAAGCAGCAACAGCAAGCACACGTCCGCCATACCTGCAGGCGGCGCCGGTGTCTTAACAGTACTTCAATTCACAATAACATCTCTGGTATCTCATTTATTGCCGAATATCCTGAACTCCCTCTCGATATATTACCAACTCAATACAATGCAACTGTATTAGGTAGAACTGTCAATAGAATAAACACCGAACGCAACAATACAGTCAAGCGCATCAGATCCATTGCTACAAATGTGGAATACCTTATGTGATTACTGGCACGTGCCAGAACTGTCGCAAATGCGAATCCGAGAAACTAACAGGCCGATTACTCTCTTCGCAAGTTTTGTCCTCTTTACAAAAACTAGTCACGGGAAAATTTGGTCAACGTGAACCATTAAAAGTAGAAATACCATCATGAATCCCCAAAGAAACTAGAAATTATTGGATCAGGAACTTAAAACGATGTTAAATCGAGACACAATAGAACCGTCTCGCAGAGGTTGCTCTAGCCCGATGCTCCTCGTCCCAAAGAACAATGAAATTTGTAGATTTTGCGTCCGACAATAGAAGTCGAAAGGAACATGCATATCCACTTCTACATATTCCAGCTATCCTTGACAAATTAAAAGGAGCCAATTTTGAACAAAATGCCTTTTGGGCCGATTAACGCGCCTGCCTGCAAAATATTAGAAAAATGATGGTTTGCTGGAATTGCCTTAATTTTTGTTTTTATTGCAACCGTCCACAAATAAACCACAGCTCAGTTTCTACATATCAGTCAATTACTAATATAAAAGAGTATATTAACCTACTCACTTGCAAGTAGGTAATTGTTCATTTCCTTAATAATGCATGCTTTGTAATACTATAAATAGGTACTTAATAAGATAATGGTAAAATAAACATGTCTTAGAATCACTGTGGAAAAATTCTTGACATATGCAAAATGAGTATCACACTAAAAGTTTGTAGGTAGCTCATTATGTTCCCAAAACGTTTCTAAAACATTTCCAATATTTTGTTTTTTTTTAAATCTGAAATCTTGTGTTCTAAACGATATGTTTTCAGTTGTGATTTGTTCAGGTCAATCACATTTGAAATCTGTCTTGTGCCTTAACAAATGTACTTTCAAGTAGTATTTATTATTGGTTGCGAAACCACAATAACCACATTTTAAAGCCTTACCAGTTCTGTGTGTCAAAAGATGCGCTTTAAAATGGGAAATATTACTGGTTGCGTAATCACACCTGTAACACTTGAAATTCTTGGAAGTGTTATGCATTAACAGATGCTTTCTCAACTTGGATCTTCCGTTGGTCGCGTAATCGCACTGAGCACATTTCAAATTCTTGGAAGACTCGTGTATTAACTGATGTTCTTTAAAAGTGGATTTGTTATTTGTTGCGTAATCGCACTGGCCACATTTTAAATCCTTAGAAATCTTGTGCGTTAAGAGATGTTTCCTTAAATTGGATTTGTCATTCGTTGCGTAATTACACTGGGCACATTTTAAATCCTTGACAGACGTGTGTGTCAACAGATGGCTTCTAAAGCAGGATTTCCCATTGGTGGCATAGTTACACTGGGTACATTTTAAATCCTTCGAAGTCTTGTGCGTTAATTGATGTGCTTTAAAATTAGAATTGAGATTGGTTGCGAAATCACAGTGGTCGCACTTAAAATCCTTGACAGTCATGTGTGTTAACATATGTTTTCTCAAATTGTATACGGAATTAGTTGCATGATTGCACTGTGCACATTTTAAATCTTTGGTGGTTTTGTGTTTTATGTAATGTCTCTTCAAATAGGATTTGTTATTCGTCGCATAATCACACTGTCTGCATTTGAAACCCTTGCTAGACACATGCGTCAACAAATGTTTCCTCAAACTAGATTTGTCATTGGTAGCGAAATCACACTGGGCGCATTTAAAGCCCTTGTCCGATTTGTGCGTCATGCGATGCCTTTTGAAATTGAATTCTTTATTGGTTGCGTAATCACACTTGTCACATTTCAAATCCTTAACAGTCTTATGTGTGAGCAAATGTTGTTTTAAATGGCATTTATAAATGGCTCTATAATCACAGTGGTCACAATTCAAATATTTGACGGTCCTATGTGTTAACAAATGTTGTCTCAAATGATATTTATACTTAGCTCTGTAATCACACTGGTCACATTTAAACTCCTTAACGGCTTTGTGTGTTAAAAGATGTTCTCTCAAATGGCACTCGTCATTGGTTGCGTAATCACATTGGTCACATTTAAAATCGTTTGGCATTTCTAGTGGGTTAAAATCTTCAAAATTATATTTCACATTGGCATAATCAACATTAACTTCCTGTTTTATCATAATATCGGAGATGTCATTGCAAAATAAAGCTTTCTCTTCCACCAAGGCATTTATTTCCTGCTCTTGCTTCATTTCAACTTTAACAATTGCGGACATTATCACACTTGGAACTGCAACACCGGGAAGCGCGACCAAAAAACTATGCACTTACCTCAAAGTATAAGAAACGGAGAGACATGGCACTCCCATCAATTAAATAATTTAAACGTAGCACGTGAAGAGAACCTGACGCAAGTGCCAATAGGAAAGTCCCCCAAAGGCGTTTTCGATTTGTAAAACTCGTGTTGCACCAGTGCAATTTTTAGTTCTATGGTTTTACTCATACTAATATACAGTGTGTCACATAAAAAAAATTATAAAATGATAATAGTTTAAAATTGATTGTACAAATATACCTATAGCAAATTTCGTGTATATTAGAATTTTTTCGCAATCCCGCTTCATTGTACGCCAGTTGAGGTTAGATATTTCGGGAAGAGACAATCTCGAACGAGGGACCAGTCACCCCTCCCAGGGGCGAGGCCCTGCTAACAAAAGTGTTTAAGAGATTCTTTACACGGTTATGGGTGACCTTGTGAAACAGTAAAGGAACTTCCAAAGGATTTAGAAGGCTCCGGAGGTTCAATTAAAAACCGTTTTTAGATAGATTTTTGGAAATTAGTTTTTATTAAGGAACTGTGTCGAAATCAACCAAAATTGCGATGTCCACATTTAAATCACTCAGCTCCGTGTTGTCGCCCTGTATGTTTCCCTAAATTAGTTTTCCAGTTCGTCGTAAACTTGCACAGTCCGCATTTAAACTTCTTCAAATTGTAACATGCCGTAACGTGCCGCCTCAAATTCTCTTTCCATTTCGTCGTAAAATTGCAACGTTCACAAATAAATTCCTCGCTCGAACTGTGGTAGACCTTCACGTGCTTGTTCAGGCTTGGCTTCCACTTGGTGGAGAAGTCGCACCATGTGCACCTGAATTTCTCCAAACTGTGGTGGACTTTCACGTGACCCAAGAGGTTTCGTTTCGATGTCGCTGCGAAATTACACACCTGGCACGTAAAATCTTCGGAACTGTGACGTAGTCTCACATGCTTGAGTAGGTACGATTTTAATTTGGTGACGAAATCGCAATGGGGACACTCGAAATCGTCCACCCCGTGATGCGACTTGACGTGACCGGTTAGGTTTATTTTCGTGTTTGTAACAAAATGGCACTGTTCACAATGGAACTTCTCCGCACCGTGACATATATTCACATGCTTTACCAAGTATATTTTCGACTTTGTGGTGAAGTCACACTGTTTACAATGAAAGGCAACCAAACTGTGACAGTTTCTTATGTGACCGCATAAATTTGATTTCCAGGTGGTGGTAAAGTGGCACAGTTCACAATTAAATTTCTCGGTTCCGTGGCGTCCTTTCGTATGTCGAATTAGGTTTTTCTTGCATTTAGTGCGATAGTCGCACTGAAAACAGTTAAATTCATTCGAATCGTGATGTACTTTAATGTGGAATATCAAATTTTCCCTACATTTTGTAACGTAATGACATTGTTTACACGTGAATTCTTCTAAACTGTGGCGTCCTTTCACATGTTTGGCTAAATATGCTTTTCGTGTTGTCGTAAAGGCGCACAGTACACATTTAAAGTCTTGTGAAAAGAGATCTTCTTTCTTTAAGTTGTGTAAGAAGTTCTTGTATTGTATTTGGCCTGAAAGTTTCCGATAGTTAAAATCGATTGTTGGTTCACAATTTAAGGCGGTTGTGTCAGCATGATTATTCGAATGGACAATCTCAGGAGAACTGGGCTCTTTGTTTATGTGAAAATCTTGTTGGGTAAGAAAGCACTCAAGTTCGTCTTCATATTCTACTTTAATTTCTCGATCAACTTCACTACAAGATAAATTCATACCTTCTTGTGGTTCTTCTTTAATTAGTGGCAGGCCTAAAGTGGCTGCTCCGGACATACTTACAGTACACAACACAGATCAACAAAATTATCCGGTGCACAAGTAAAAGGTAAACAAATAGTTAAAATATAACCAAACAATCGATATAGAACTACACAGAGAATCATTTGAACTACTTTGATCGTTTGGGCCTACGGGTAAAGTTTGTTTAATGGCAAATTCGTTATGCCCAGAGGTGGGTATAGTGCAAAGGGTTGTAGTGTACTTAAACCCCTCAGGTTCTACGCTAACTTCACAGTACAGTAACACGGAAATAAATTCATCATTCAATGGCCACCGGAATAACTATTCCCTCCAAAAACTAACCAGACCCCGCTCAAGTTGAAATCGAAAACAGCTCGTGATCGAACACAAGTACAATAGGGAAGAGACAAAATAAAACACTAACTGGACAAAAAGCGTAAACCTGTCTACTCTTCAGTCGCGGTGCACCAAACGTCGAACGCCCTGTATAAATGCAACCATTTGACTCACATATGTAGTTAGAACGCACTCGGTACTGTCTCATAAGTCTTTTAAATATCTGTAGTGTACTTAACACTCAGGTTCTAAGCTAACTTCACACAACAAGAACGCGGAAATAAAGTCAACCCGGCAACGTTTAAAAATGGCCACCCGAATGACTATTCCCTCCAAAACTAAACGAGATCCCGCTTAAATTTGAAAAGTGGCACGTGATAAAAAATCTAAGGCAGGGCCCCCTTACGTCTCAAAAATGTATGTATCATCGTAAGTTGTGTATACAGGGTGTAACCTAAAAATGAAAAGTAGTAAGAAGAGAGTTGTTCTGGGATAACCGTGAGCCACTGCGCGTTTAGCCGTGGAAAATCTCGAGCAAAGTAAACCACCTGTGAATTACCATAGGGTGGATTTTGTATTGTGTTGTTCAAATTCGCATTGAGTCGCGAGAGAGTTAGCATGGAACTGTGAGAAAATTGGCATCGAACCGCGAAATAGATACAATGAAGCGGTCACCTTTTCTTCACCGTGGAGTTGTTTTTATTTTTATGCGAAACTCGTGAAATTTATCGCACGGCATTTTAAGTATTGGTGGTACAGCTCCAATAATCGAGTGTGTATTAGTCGCATATAGTAGCGAAATTGAGTACGTGTGAAACAAATTAAACTCTAAGTCAAACAAAAGCGAATGGACTTATAATAAAAATACGTAACGTGATTCGTCGCCCATCTGACCGGTAGATTGCGGGCAATTATTTTTTACTGACATTGACGCTCACCTGAAACATCTAATACGGACTCACGGGCTTCAAATCAAAGAAGCCATTCATTATACGAACTCGTCCTTCAATTAGCAGCTCAATCAAAATGTTAACTCAAGCAGTTTCTACTGTAAAGATACGAAAAAATAAAAAGTGCTTTTATTCCGGGATTCGATGCGCATCGCTGCTGAGAGTAATTAGCTAAAATAAATAGGTAAACATATGTATATGACTTTCGAGGGACAATTACTTTTGTTTGACAATAATCAAATTTGTAGCTGTAATTAAAAGAGGAGCGTGATGCAGCTGTAGAATGTTAAACCGGAACGGCACAAGAAATGGCTGCCGGGGCCATATTGGATCCATAATTTTTTATCTACAGGGAAGGTCGGCGTACTTCCTTGTGGTCCCCAGATCCCCAAACTCGGTCTCCAGAAACTGCTAGGCAGAATGAAGCCGAACTCTTAATCCATAACACGAAAAAGATGCTTATCCCCTACCTTCCTTGTGGTCCCCAGATCCCCAAACTCGGTCTCCAGAAACTGCTAGGCAGAATGAAGCCGAACTCTTAATCCATAACACGAAAAAGATGCTTATCCCCTACCGAATTTTTTTTAATCAATAACCCAAAATAAGATGCTTATCCCTTACCGAATATACCCGTCATACATGAACGTTTAACTGCTCATTACAATCTGTAGGGTTTTGGCGCATTAATTCAGCAAATTTCGAGCCTCACCTCAGATGCTACGTGGAGGAAAAGCTGAAAAAACGCTACTGGTAACCTGTTTAAATTTCTCCGAGTAGATTATCATCTTGATTGCTGCTGATGGATTCCTTCCAAGTGTTGTTGTGTAACACATTTAGAGACCCCTAAAAAGCGCTCTAAAGTGACCTGGATAAATATGTACTGTTCAAGAGCACGATTGAGGAATTTGGACCTTTGCTTTTGAACACAAATGTCATGATTTAAGCTTCGATTTTACAGATCCCCAAACTAAGTCTCCAGTAACTGCTAGACAGAATGGAACAGAGATCTTAATCCGTAAAAAAAAAGATGCTTATCCGTTACCGAATATGCATGTCATGCGTGATCGTTTACTGGCTGCCAAATGCGATATCCCCTTAAAAAAAATCCTTCAGAGGCAGTTTGTCGTAAATAAATTCTGAAAAAACGCTACTGACAACCTGTTTAAATTTCTCCGAGTAGCTTAGTTCACATCATCTAGATTGCTGCTGATGGATTCCTTCCAAATGTTGTGTAACACATTTAAAGACCCCTAAAAAGCGCTGTAAAGTGACCTGGATAAATTTGTACAGTTCTAGAGGACGATTGAGGAATTTGGACCTTCGCTTTTGAACACAAATGTCATGATTTAAGCCTCGATTTTACAGATCCCCAAACTAAGTCTCCAGTAACTGCTAGACAGAATGAAGCAGAGATCTTAATCCGTAAAAAAAAGATGCTTATCCGTTACCGAATATGCATGTCATACGTGATCGTTTACTGGCTGCAGAATCAGATATCTCCTTCAAAAAAATCCCTCAGAGGCAGTTTGTCATAAGGAAAAGCCGAGTAGATTAATTATCGAATATTGTTGTAATCAAGAACCTAAAACAAGATGCTTATCCCTTACCGAATATTCCTGTCATACGTGATTGTTTACTGGCTGCTGAATGCTTTGTTATTCTTGATATGATACGGACGTGAATGTGAAGTCGTGGCTCAAACCAAACCATTATCGGAATGAAAAACGCTTTCAATCAAGATCCAACTGATATTCATTTATTTCAACAAAATAACAGGTCCTTAGTTGAAAGTTATAAACTAAAAAAATCGACAGTGTACACACATGATTTTGGAAGCATTTTCTTTTTTACAGTGTACAATTAGTTCAGTCATCATGGAACGTAAATAGTACGTACCCGAGATGCAAGCGTAGATTGTAAAGACAGTATACTGAAACGTAAATAAAAAATTCACAGTTTATGTACAATATCCCTTACAGCTATAATTTCATTAATTAATTATGTTTTTTTTACGTTCATTTACATTTCCAATAAAATAATTCGCATATTCGGCGATACGTACCGTAATCCGAGAGCGCCCTCACGTTACGTACCCAAAGATAAAATGTCGGTAAACGTAATAAAAAATAAAAGGAGAAATTGTAAAAAATTTGCCTTTGGAAATGCAAAAGTTGGACAATTTATACACATGCAACATTTCCGAAGAGATGGAATTCCTTCGCAAATATTTAAAAATCGTAGATATCTACCTAACCTATATCCGACTCATAAATATACAGATTACAGTTGTATTTACAATTAGTCAATACCTACAGTTAAAATATTTTGTATCTACAATGTAATTAAAATAACTAAATGGACGCTACTTAATCCAGCTTAGCGCTTGCGGTGAGCGTGGACAGTTTTAAGTAGTAATCGCCGGACAACGTGGAAAATCACTGGTGTAGGGGACGTGTCGCGAACTGTCGGAAAAATCTCACAAGCCGAATTTGCATTTAAACCTAACCTTAAAAAATATCACTTAGACAAATTATTTACATTGCTCGAGCCACAGTCGATTTAATCTTCGTCCGATAACGGCTCGTACTGCGCCGACAGCAGCGGTTTGGGTTCGGTATTTCGAGAGTTATCGTTGGCAGTGTTGTCCGTTTTGTGTGCGACGTAAGGGTACGCGAAACCGCCGGCCGGCTGACCGCCGACGAATTCCTCGTGCTTCTCCTCGTCTATGACCATATCGCCGGGACTGTCGTTCCTCTCCTTGTCCTGCCCGTGGTGAGGATCCTGCGACTCCTTCTTGTCGTCCTCGGTGCGCATAACCTCGACGATGCGATTTTTAACGTAGTCCAATGCGGAGATATGCGACTGGGGCTGCTGGTACCGTCTGAAGTTCTGCTCGGACCAGTGGTTCGTCTCGGGCGGCGAGACGGGTTCGACGTGGTACTTCTGCTGCTGCGCTATTCGGATGATCTGCCGTTCGTCCTGCTGCGGCGTCGCCGAACGCTTCGACTCCTCCTTCTGCTGCTGCTGTTGCTGCATGCGCCTCTTCCACTGCTCGTTGATGTTGTCGGCGTGATGGTAGTAGCCGGCCTGTCGCGTGTTAAAGTCGTGACTTATCACCGACTCGGCGAGCTCCTTGATCGTGAGGGTTTTGGTGGTCGTCTCGTTTTCGAGGTCGACGCTGATCACGGACGGCGAGCGCTCGCCGTTGTTGTCGGGCTGGGGCGGGGGCGGGTCCCGGTGAAAGCTCTGGAATAGGCGGTCGCCCGGTCGCGGCGGCTCTCGGTTGTTCGAGACCACCTCCCGTCCGCCTTCGGCGACTTGATTGATCTGGTGCGTTATAATCGCGTCGATTAGACTGGCCGCTGTTAATGTGGAGGAGTCGCCTCGAGACGAAGCCTGCTGATGTCGAATTTGCTGCTGTTGTTGCTGCTGCTGCTGCTGCTGTTGCTGGTGGTAGGCACGTCGTTCGGCTTCCAGGCGTTGCTGTTGTCTCAGTTGCTGCTGATGCTGTATCATTTGGAAGCGGTGAGGTTGCTCGAGTAAATTGTCGGCCATTGTTTTTCCCAGACCCTCGTGAGGCGAGTTGGGAACGGGTAGGTTGGGCTGTTGGACTGCGACGTCAACCAAAGAGCTGAGCGCTTCGTGACCCGGGGGATAGTGCGGTCGGGTATGGCGCTGAATCACGCCTTGGCGTTGCTGCGCTTGCTGTGGCGGGGGCGGAGTTCGGTGGGGGCTCGACGTCGCGTAGTACTGCGGTTTTTCATTGCGTCGCCCTAGCATTTGCTGCGAGGTTATGTAATCGTTCATAATTATCTGGCGTGAGCTTAGCTGTTGCTCCACCGAGTAAGCCGGTTGTCGATATTGGGGTTGGTAGTTTGCGGCTTGGGGCGGAACGTTGTGAGGAATCGGCGGTCGTTTATTATAATAGTCGTACATTCTCTTGTCTTGCATGTGAGGAACGTGGATGGGGGTACCCTGCGTGATGGAACCCATCTTCGGTTCGGGCGTCATCTGACGCAGCAGCCCCTCGTACCGCGGCTGGCTAATGATGGGCGTGCCGAGCGTGATCGAACCCGCCTTCGGATTCGCGAGCTTCGGACTCGGCAATTTCGGCTGCACCCGCGGAATTGTCGAGACGTACACGGCGGGACTTTTCCGCTCCTGGTGGTAGCCCACGTAAGCGTCCGACCGATGAATTTGAGCTTGGCTCAACTTCGCGTGGCTCGGCGGGGGAAGCTCGCGCGGTTTCTTAATGCTCAAATCTAAAGTCTCGGGTTCGCGATTGTCTTGTACTTGAAATACAACCAAATCGTCTCTGAAACATTTCCTTCATTCAAGAAAAAAAATTATTGTCATCGTCAATAGGATGTGCGCGAAGCGCCCCCACAAAAGATTTTAAGTTAAATACCAACTAAATTTTGCTGACGACGTTTAAGGACGGCATACTATTCATGAGAACCAATAGAGGTCGCCACTGACAAATTGCATTGTAAAATCATATCAAACTTTGAGAATGACTCCTGGGCTTATACAATCATTTTTTAGCTTGGTTTTTGAATACATTACTCTAGAGCGACTGTATAAAGGTTTTACTAAAAAGACAATAATTACTACAATATTGCTAAAATAAGAAGGCACATTTTATATTTTATTTTAAGCAATTGTTGAATTTTAAAGTACAGTATAAAATCACATTCACTTTCATTTAAATCAGTTCACTTGTATGGAAAGAAAAAAACTAGAAAAACATTTGGAACTGATTACTTCTTGTACATAACCTCTAAAACAATTGTTTATTATGGAATTCTTACTTTTGGAATGTTTCTTGGAGGTAAATGTTAGGAAATACAGGAATTGGTCATTTTTATCTCATTACACAGGATCATGGTGATGATACTACAAGTGAAAGTGAAGGAGCAAGTCTAAGCGGTTTTAGTAGCTCTGAGGATTCTGATGAAACTTATGTTCTTGCACAGAAAGACAATAGGAGAGTTAGGATATCCAACTTTGTAACAGAAGTGGTACCTTTTTATTCTGAGGAAGAGTTTAGGAAACATTTCCGTGTTACTAAAGATGCATTTGCAATAGTGCATGGTAAATTAGTAATGTGTAATCGGTATTAAATGTTTTACATAATTGTTTGTGTGTAGATGCAGTATCTTCTGAAATAAAAAGTGTCATTGGAGGTCGCCAAATGATATCACCAGAAACAAGTATTCTTATGTTCTTGTGGTACCTTGCAAACCAAGAAACCTATAGACAACTTTCTGACCGATTTGGTGTTACTGAAAGTAGTGCACATAAAATAATTGCCAACATTGTAAATATTATTGTTAACAAAATGAAAAACTTCATACAATGGCCTAATGAAGTGGAATGTGTGGATATTGAAAAGAAATTTGCCAAGGTGAAAAACATACGTAACGTTATTGGAGCTATTGATGAATCACATATAGAAATATGTCGCCCTAAGGAACATCAAGTGGATTATTGTAATCGCAAAGGTTACCACAGCATTATTTTACAGGGAGTGGTAAATAGGGATAAAGTCTTTTTAGATGTATATTGTGGTGAACCCGGTTCAATGCATGATGCCCATGTTTTACGTAAATCCCCCCTATACAGTGCAATAGGAACAGAATCACCTATATATAATAAATATTTATTGCTGGGTGATTCAGCATATCCAACACTACCGTGGTTGATGACACCCATTAAAGATAACGGTCATCTAACTGAACAACAGCACATATATAATTATGAACATTCATCCACACGTATATGTATTGAAAATGCCTTTGGGTTGCTAAAGGGTAGATTTCGTAGATTACGTAAATATGACAATATTAACATTCAATTTATCGTTAAATGTACTATAGCTGCATGTATAATTCATAACATTTGTATATTACATAACGATTCTGGAGAAGATATGGTAATAATAGAAGAAACTTTGTAAATATAAATTTAATCATATATATGTACCTATATTATAATAAACTCATTTTTTTTATTTATCATTATCACTACGTAATATTTTTAAATATTCTTCAAATGCTGTAATTTTTCTCTCTTCAATTTCATTCTTCTTCTGTAAAGCTTCAATTTTTTTTTCCTTCATGTCAGTCCTTTCAACACACTGTTTCTCTAATAATTTCAATTTTTCCTCATGTATTATCATTTTCTTTTTAAGATAGATTTCAAATGGGCTGACATATTTTTTTTTGCATTTTAAGGATGTTGATGTCATTGGAGATGGTGATGCTGCTCTTGATGGAGATGTTGATGCAACTGTTGGAGATGGTGTTGCTCTTAATATATTTGATGATTCCGTTGGAGATGGTGTTGAAATTGCTTTTAACGAACTCGATGTTTTTGTTGGTGTAACTGTTGAATCTGTTTGTGATTTATCTATTTCTAAAGCTACTGCTGTTTTGTTGATGCCTATTGCTACAGTATGGGGTGACGATGTTGATGGACTGTTGCCTAAAATCTCATCCATTTGGTCAAAGTACAGAAAGCGGGATGCTCCTCTTCCAGTTTTAGATTTATTATCTTTCTTTGATAGCTTTGTAGGTTCGAATTAAGTTTCGCCATTTCGTTTCACAAGATTTTGCATGTTTTTCGACACCTAAACTTATAAGCTCATTGCTAATTACTTCCCATACATGCTTTCTTTTTTTGGCACTATTGAAATTTTCTTTATGGGTTTCGTAGGCAGCAATTAATGCTAAAACTTCACCATTGGTCCAAGTGGCACGATCGTCCTCTGTTTGATTATACGGTTCGCGAGACGGCTTGTCTGTTGCTTCTTCTGTTTTGTTTAAATTTAGTGTCTCTTGTGTATTGTCATCGTTAGCGGTCCACAACAATATTTTCCTAAAACCGCCAGGTAAAAATGCTATAACATTGTAACTTAAGAAAAACATACTCATCATCGTATATACGATACATTTCATTAATTATGGGCACGGTTGGAAACTGCCCTGCTGCGTGCAATTCTTGAATGTATTGCCGTGTGAATTCATCATCATCTAAAATGAAATTTGTTATAGGTACAGCAATCTGAGTAAATTACTTACTGGTTAAGTTGAACCATAAACTTTCTTCTGAATGAGGCACTTCCAGAGTAAATACTTCAGAATTTAAGCAAAATTTAATCACCAAAGTCATAATTGCTAAAAACTTAAGAGGGAAATAAACAGGTTTGAGAATTGAGGTTATTATTACTGATTGCAATTGAATTGACGCAAGTGATCCACCTTTTTACTACAATCAGTTGCAAGTGATTTTGCGCTCAGTTAATAGTGGTGGGAGGTAACTGAATGCACAGAAAAAAACACGCTGCATTCACTTAAATCGATTGAAATCACTTCAATCACCAGAAACGAATACGCCTATTCTCAAAGATTTCATTTTTAAAAAGTTACATCAATCACAATATGGCAGCATTAGTGCAGATATTTATTTCTAGATGTCGCTAAGGTACAACTTAACTTGGCGCGCGTCTGTAAAAAATATTATAAAGGAACTGCTGCAGCCGATTATGATGTCATTGAGTACAATGAATGGTTGTTTGTCTAAAGACGAGTACATAAACGCGACCTATGCCAAAATTCCTTTCTCGGTTACTAAGATAAAATGACATTTGTGATTTGAATGTGTGTGGGCGACCCTCCGGAAAAGAAGACAGGTAGTTAAAACCTCAGAGTAAGAACTATCTTTATTTCTTACTCTGAGGTTAAAACCGTTTGGAAATTTTACACGATTGTGTAACGCTGCCCTTATCCTATGTCTATCCTACGGAGTGCATTTCCTAAAAATCACAGGGGTGCAAAATAGTTATTTATTATCTTCGTTGGCGCAGAGACCACATCTACTGCCCAAATTCTCCGGGTATGCTCAGGGGTAGAGATCATGGGGGCGGGGGTGAATTTTCAGTAAAAAAAAATATCAATTGCCCCGAGTAACGATTTTTTCGGCACGGTTAATTTTTTACTTCACTGCACCCTCGTAGCGCCGCCCCTGGGCATCCTCTTTCAATTTCGAGGGCAGAGATGGACTTTACGCCCCCGATAACCGCCGAGTAGGATTTCTCCAGCTTTTCATATAAGGAGCGATCAAAAAAGGATTGACAATCGAGTCGCCGATTTTCTGGGTAACCAAAAATTCCAAAGGTTGCTCGACAACGGGTCCGTGAAGTAAGCAGCACATTGAAGGCACAAATGTCGAGACTAGGTGGGTTGGTTAGTGCTTCGTTTGTGCCGGTTTGTACCGTAAAAAGTTTGCCAGCAAAACATACCGTTTGGAAATTATTTCAATTTTTAGATGTGCCGCTAATAGGCCTGTCATTGAGGATTTTTACCTGGAAGTAACTCGGGAAGTACAGAAATTTTGTATGCTTGAGTGCGTAGAACTAAAATTCATAATATGCACAATTCTAAACTTGCCGCCGGGGCCGCCATCTTACCAAGATGGCCGTCAAAAGCGGTTTTCCGCCGATATCTCCAAAACTGTACATTTTACGAGAAAATATGTGGTGAGCAAAATTAAAGAGACGAAAATTTCCTACATAAAAATGTAGTTAGCATATTTCCACTAAAGTTAGCCCTTGCGCAGAAAAGCAGAAATTTTTAATAACCAATGGCGTGTATTTTATCAAAATAATTCATTAATCATTTAATTAATTAATCAAATCGATTAATCATTAGTCTATGATCAATTAATTTTAAGTAACATTAGATTCTCTATTTACGCAGGCCTGACGGACCTGGCGGTTCGTTAATGTCTCTGTTTTCATTGCCGAATACGTTTATCCCTATTTCGGGATCAACGTTGGCTTCTTTGAATTCGTCGGATTCTCCTTCTTCAGTCGATAAAGGAATATCGATACATATTCCACAAATTACGTTTGTGCCGATTTGTGCTGTATCGCCAGGAAAATATTTTCCTGGAAGAAGTTATTTCGATTTTTAGATGTCTGTAGATGTTTGCTATAACTTCGCACACTTTTGTCGGCATAAATTTCGAGACTAGATTGATTGGTTAGTGCTACGTTTGTGCCGGTTTGTGGGGTAAAAAGTTTGCCAGCAAAGCATTGCCTTTGAAGGTTATCTCAATTTTTAGATGTTCTGGAAACCTTGTACACTTTTGTCGCTATACTGTTCAAACTAAGTATAATGTTAATGTCACGCATGGGTTAATGCTATCTTTGTGCCGGAATGTATAGTAAAAAGTTTGACCAAAAAAGGGAATGTGTGAAAACTCTCAGGCCGTTTTGAATAAGTATTATAGCTTTCACACAAGTGTAGTGTGTTTTTGATGACACTTTATTGTCTAATTTGTTGACAATTGTATGCCCCGGCGGCAAGTTTAAAATTGTGCATATTATGAATTTTAGTTCTACGCACTCAAGCATACAAAATTTCTGTACTTCCCGAGTTATTTCCAGGTAAAAATCTTCAATGACTGGCCTAGCAGAACCTCTAAAAATCGAAATAATTTTCAAACCGTATGTTTTGCTGGCAAATTTTTACGGCACAAACCGGCACAAACGAAGCACTAACCAATCCACCCAGTCTCGACATTTGTGCCTTCAATGTGCTGCTAACTTCACGGACCCCTCGACAACAACTCTTTTTTAATTGGTAGCTATCCATCTTATAACGACTCAAAACGGGGCATAGTATGAAGTATTAGTGAAAATAATGATTACAAATTGTAGGTATGACAAAATAAACAAAAACAAACAGTTTTTTGTAAATAAAGCAAATTCCCCTATGTATCCTTTAAATTCCCCACGTCAAAGAATTATAAGAATATTAACAAATGAACGTCAAAAATTTTATTTGCGATTTCGACTGCAGAGCGAGAGCAGAAGGGCTAAGTATTTGAACAAAAAAACATGCCTTGAATTTGTTGAATTATAACCTCTGGTAATAGTGCATAATCGGTTTTTGCGTGTACCTTTAAATGTAATTTAATCTATGTCAACCAGCTGTATTTTATCTCGTTAAAATAAGCAAAGGAATGTGCACAAGGTCATGGAAGCCAACAAAAGTAATTAAATTTAGAGTATACACAAACCAATTGCGTAAGTAGATAGTACCACCTACTCGCCACGATGTGGCAGCACCATTTATTTACTACAAAGATAATACTTCACTATCTTTCGATTTTAAAACATGCTGCGACCTCTGATATTTGATAGCTGAATCATGGTTGCCTCATTTCATAACTGGTTAAATTTTTTAATTCGTATGCCGTCCTTAATTGCTACACCCTGTATAAAAACATTTTTGATTTTTTAGTGAAGATCAGAACCACAATTTTTTGATTGATTTTTAAAAATCAAAACAATTTTTCAAAAAACATTGACCTTCAAAAAATGTAAAATTAGACATCCTTCATAGCGAAACTTCGCACACTATATTAGAATAATAAATTAGAAAGTAGAATCGTAGAATTACTCACCGATTGGAATGCTCTTGCTGAGGAGGAGGCTGTGGAACTTGTCCCGGCGCAGGTACTGGAGTAATCGTGGCGGCAATCAGCGGTGTTACCAGTTTCGTAATCGATATCTCGTTTCGTCCACCTCTCGGCGGCTGCATGTTGTTCAAATTGTACTCGCTGACGATCGTGACTTCGTTCGAGTCGTTGTTGAGGATCGAGGAGATCGTGGGCGTCATGCCGCTGGTCGGCGGATGCGGTTGCTGCTGCGAGCCGGCGTCCTTCATGAGCGAGAATTCGATCACGTTCAGCATGAGATCCTTGACGGTGAGCGGCGAGCTGTTCTGCCTCGGCTGGCCGTCGTTGTTGATGACGGTGATGGTCGCGGAGCTCTGGTAGTGATCGGGGGTCTGACCTTCGTCGGCGGTTTCCGTCGCCGACGAATCGTAGTCCTCCTTTTTGATGGGATGCTGCGGGATCTGCTCGGTGATCGTCGGGGGACTTCCGGCGCTCGCCGTGTCCGACGAGTTGTGATCCTGCATCGCCTCCTCGCAGCTGCTCGTGCTGCTGCCGCTCTCCTCCTCGTCGGTTAGCGTGGGCTTTCGGTCGCCCAGACACATCTCCAAATTTAAGCGTTTTCGATTGGCGGCGTAAAAATTTCGAACTTGCTGAGGCGGTTTGCTCAATCTCTCCCCTATTAGCTGCCAGTTCGCACCGACCTCGGTCAAGACGTTTCGCAACTGCCCAACCTCCTCCTCCGGCCACTCCTCCACCGGTCCCAAACGTCGTTGAAATCGGCTAAAGCAGGCCGAACAGCACTTGCTAACGCCGCTCGGCACGTGGAACTCGGCGAGGATCGGATCTCTGACATCGGATGGAAGCTCCATTAGTCGCTGAGGAAACGATCTTAACCGTTTGATTCGCCCCCTCGAGTTGGGGCAGTTGGGTAACGGGCAGTGGGTATAGCGGGACCTTACGCACTTACACCGGCACATGTTGCAAACGCGCGCACTCGACGGTACCTGATCCTCCCGAAGACCGTACAACGACGCGTGGCTCGGCATCAAAGGTCTCGACTGAAGCTGAGGGCCCAACTGGGACGCGCACACCAAACATTGACCCTGAACGGATTTATCTACAACAAACAATCAATTAATCACCACTCTTATTACACTCCGTTTGTTAAAACGCCAGCTAATGAAATATTCTCAAAGAATAAACCGAGCGTATGTTATGTATGTTTGATCTTCAAAAAGCGGATAATAAATATTTTATTTAATCACCAAAAGTGCTCCCTCTTACTGAAAACCTTTTTAATTATTCAATTCCGAATTAAAATGCATAAATGTTTGATATTAATTACGCTAACACATCTTACAGCGACCCATCGCAGCGCGATTGTTTTAAAATTTCGCCCCCCCCCCCCCTTCGAACAATATCGATACGTATTCTAACCCTACATTAATTAACTAAAATCGCCACCGAATCAAAACTAAATTAAACATGAGCGAGTACACAGCGGTATTCAAATAAATGATGTGGATACCGAAAGCGGAACTCAGCAGAATTTTATTTGCTCTAATGTACGTATCGGGGCGGTTCGAAAAAGTCGTCATCGCTAATTGCATTCGTTCGAAGAAACCGGTTAAGTTTTGCGTGCGTTACCGTGACGTGATGAACGCGTACGGATTTTCCATGCGAAAGAATCGCCTGGTCAGGTCTAATAATTATCTTGACGTTACCAACCCGTACGGATCCGTGCGATTCGGCTTGCATTTCTAAGAAGACAAATTTCTTGCACTTCTACGCTCCTGATACAAATAAGCTTTTGTTATTAGGAGATAAAAATGTACAGGGTGGCCAACTAAGAATGCGAGGTACTGTATCTGGGAACCTGTCCATCGTAGAGGCTTGCGGGAAAAAAATCTATTACTAAAACGGCCACGAGCAAAACTTGGAAAATATTTTTAAGTTTCTGAAATGACCGCTAGGGGGCGTAACTGCAATCTGGAATCTAAAGTCACTAAATGTAGAAAGTACCGCAATCATCCGCCATTTTTGGGCAAATTTGCTGCCAACTTAAAAAAATTGACAAATAAAATCTGAATAGCTGTCATATAACCTAACTTCATAGTACTGTCATGTTTTATAAAAATATATACAAACATCTCCAAACAGGTGGAACAATCCCTAACATTAAAGTTACTAGAATCTGGTAACTTCCGCCATTTTTGGGCAAAAATCATGCGTTCTCTCTCTAACACACGAGCCCAATGGATTGCGGTACTTTCTATATTTAGTGACTTTACTGGAATCTAAAGTCACTAGATATAGAAAGTACCGCAATCATCCGCCATTTTTGGGCAAATTTGCTACCAACTTAAAAAAATTGACAAATAAAATCTGAATAGCTGTCATATAACCTAACTTCATAGTACTGTCATGTTTTATAAAAATATATACAGATATCTCCAAACAGGTGGAACAATCCCTAACATTAAAGTCACTAGAATCTGGTAACTTCCGCCATTTTTGATCAAAAATCATGCGTTCTCTCTCTAACACACGAGCCCAATTGATTGCGGTACTTTCTATATTTAGAAACTTTACTGGAATCTAAAGTCACTAGATATAGAAAGTACCGCAATCATCCGCCATTTTTGGGCAAATTTGCTGCCAACTTAAAAAAATTGACAAATAAAATCTGAATAGCTGTCATTTTTTATAACCTAACTTCATAGTACTGTCATGTTTTATAAAAATATATACAGATATCGCCAAACAAGTGGAACAGTCCCTAATATTAAAGTTACTAGAATCTGGTAACTTCCGCCATTTTTGGGCAAAAATCATGCGTTCTCTCTCTAACACACGAGCCCAATGGATTGCGGTACTTTCTATATTTAGTGACTTTACTGGAAACTAAAAAAGTGATGTTTCTGTCAATTCCGCTATATTAACCTAACAAAAAAATGTCCGGTCTTTGGAGTTGACGATAATCTGAACAATTTTTGTTTGACAATTTTTCCTGTATCTCTAAAAATGAAGTGGTGGGGGGTATTTAAAGGTTTCCGTAAAGAACACCCTGTATCTTCGAAACGGCTAAGCCGATTTAAGCAAACTCGGGTTAGTTCAAAAGAGCTATTCTTCAACTACAAATATTTTACTATTTGAAGTTTTGTTAGTTTCACATATCACCGCTTGAGGGCTTTTTTCGACATTCCGACAGAAATGGTTAATTTTCTCAAAAAAATTAAATGCATTGGTTCGATTTTTTTATGAAATAGTAGCTAAATGATGCCTAAACAAGCTCGCCAAAACACCATCTCGATATTTTGAGAGATATATCAAGCATTTCGATTATTTACGGCGGCATTAAAAGCTTCCTTTTTTAAATCGATCCACCTTAGGGCCACAAGTTATATAATAAAAATAATTCCGGAAAAATTAGCTTAAAAAAATAAAATTTTGAGGGTATACAATTTTCTTTGCCCTAAAATTTAGATTAGCAATAAGATATCTAGATGCGGTTTTCGCGAGCTTGTTTAGGCATCATTTAGCTACTTTTTCATGAAAAAAAAAAATCGAACCAATGCATTTAATTTTTTTGAGAAAATTAACCATTTCTGTCAGAATGTCGAAAAACGCCCTCAAGCGGTGAGATGTGAAACTAACAAAACTTCAAATACTATAATATTTATAGCTGAAGAATAGTTCTTTTGAACTAACCCGAGTTTGTTTAAATCGGCTCAGCCGTTTCGAAGATACAGGGTGTTCTTTACGGAAACCTTTGAATACCCCCACCACTTCATTTTTAGAGATACAGGAAAAATTGTCAAACAAAAATTGTTCAGATTATCGTCAACTTCAAAGACCGGACATTTTTTGTTAGGTTAATATAGCGGAATTCACAGAAACATCACTTTTTTAGATTCCAGATTGCAGTTACGCCCCCTAGCGGTCATTTCAGAAACTTAAAAATATTTTCCAGGTTTTGCTCGTGGCCGTTTTAGTAATAAATTTTTTTACCGTAAGCCTCTGCGCTGAACACGTTCCCAGATACAGTACCTCGCATTCTTATTTGGCCACCCTGTACATTACTACTACCGATATTATTTCATTAGTGACTACACTGTCATGCTCCTGGAATAAGTGTCGTCTGTCAACTCTCTCTGCCTTTCACTTCTGTGCTCTTGATACAAGTTCGAAGCGAGAGAACTCCTGCACTTCTGGTACGCCAACTTATGTTCCTTAAGTCAAACTTCTCTGCATTCCTACGCTCCTAATACCAAGCCAAAATAGAAACGAAGTAAGTGGCGAGTTTACCGCGCTAGGTCCTCTCCTATCGCAGCTTACACATAAAATTTAAGAGGGCGCCACTAAATTTTCAGGGTACTTTTTTTTTGGCGTAAACCGAACTACTAGCAAAGAGAAATTGAGATGAAAAAGTTTCGGTATCACTCAGCGATGGTCCTCAGCGCGGGTTTTAATATCTTTTGATGAAATTAATTGGCTATATTTTAAATGTAAGCAATTAGTACTTGCAGCAGGCACTGTTGATTTTCTCGACTAATTAATGCGGATTATAACATTCGTTTGCTCTGTTACCACGAACCTCCAATTACCAACGAATATATATATACTCCTGTTTAAACTTAATTAATGTTGACTTTCAAAAACTCGCCCAACTACTTGCGCTCGCTTACGCCGCCTCCCGCCTCCCTTACGACAAACGCCTCCATTTTTTATTTCTTAGCCCAACGCGGCGGCAGCGATCTCTCAAATAATTAAAGTACAACGGATTCGTTCGCGAAATTGACTGAAGGGCAGACGGTTTTAAATATTCATACTTCATATATGCATATTTACATTTGCTATTTGCGAAGGGAAAGTTAAATCCGAGCTCCATTCGGTTAATAAAAGAGTAAGAAGCAATTCCGATCGGGATACCCACCTCAAAGGTATAGCGGGAGGGAAATTGTATTCGGCCACTCGAATTATTAAAACTGGCAGATATTTACTTACGAGAGAGTATTTTGTAAGAATATTATTGTTATATGCAAAGTACAGAATGATCTACATTGAGAGGTCCCCAAGGAAATTTATAACAATGTATAAATTCAACCGGAAAATCTTTTGATTAGACGTCACCACCATCTATGTTTAACAAGCCTACATTGTTTGTATATAAAAACCCCGGGGACCTCAGAAAGGGAGACTGCTTACAAATTGAAATTACCCATCTTTTATTGAAAGGTTTTTCATCCTTTAATGGTGTACAAATTTGTTTTGATTTTTGCTATAGTTCTAATGCTTATTAATTAATGCCCTTCGGTATCACTAACGCTCCTGCAACTTTTGCATATTAGTTTCATTAATCTCCGGCAAAACCCTCAACAAAACCACACACTTCCAACATCTACACGTCTCCAAAATACTCCCCTCCTAGGAATTTTGCTAGAAATATTCTTGGAAACCTTTCGTGAGCTAATTTTCCTCGGCTGGAGGGCTTACGGAGAGTTCACTCTCTTCCAAGTTTTCCTTTGAGATTGTAAAGGGAGAATATACCAAGAGCTAACGTTCGTGGGGCAAGTTTCCGGAACCAGTGTACTTGGAGGGGGAGGGAGATAGGGAAAATGTTCCCGATAGTCCTTTAGGGTTCAAGGAAAATTCGCTCTTCGTTTCGTGAGTGTCTTTGAATGCAATTGAAAACCATGTTTGTTACGAATGCCTTTCGGTATCACTAATGCTCCTGCAAACTTTCGTTCAAACTTTTGTATTAAGAAGGCATAATGGGCATGTGTGAGGAGGTATTTCTGCTCCTAATTCACGGAATCTCTTTTAAGAAAGTGTTGTAAATTATCTCTAACCACCAGGACAACATAATCCATTAAGAGATCCTTTTCTGCGCACACGCGGAAAATTCGTTCAAACTTTTGTATCAAGGTAATCTGCAAGGAGCTATTTCTCTCCCAAATTATCTTTTAGGAAAGTGACTCTGACTACCAGGAGAACATAATCCATACAGAGGTCCGTGCACTGAAACTTCTGTACCAAGAGAGCATAATGGGCATGTGCGAGGTGTTTCTACTCCTAATTCACAGAGTCTTTTAGAAAAGTTTTGTACATTTTCGG